AGGGTCCCAGCACTGTTCATGGCAGTCAGGAGCTGGAAGTAACCCAGGTGCCTACCAAGGGGAGATTGGATAAGAAAAATGTAGCACATACTAGGGCATTAAAAGTGACAAACTGGATTTATATCAGTATGGAGAGTTCAAAAACAGTGTGTACAGAAGAAAAATTAAGAAAAGAATGAGATTTTTTTTTCCTCTAAAGCACAATACCATTTTAGGAAATTAACACACACAGGGCATATTTTTCAAGGACACTCACATATCTAAATAACTCCGGAAGGTGGATTGCCAGGAATGATATAAGTGGGGTGAGGGGTGAGAACTGATGGAGGGTGTGTGTGGATGGCATAGGGCAGAGACTGGCTGACTCTAGCTCGAGGGCAGTTTTTACATTTTTAAATGGTTGGAAAAACAATTAAAAGAAGGATTCCATTTGGGACACATGGAAATTATATGAATCTGACATTTCGGTGTCGGCACACAAGTTTTCTTGGCACGCAGCCATGCTCGCTTATTAATACTTATATTGTTTACGTCTGCTTTCATGCTACAAAGGCAAAATTGAGGCAACAAATTAATAAAAATGCATACAGTAAAAATATACATTTTTGCCCAGGCTGAGTGGCTCAGTTGGTTGAGCTTCATCCTAAGCACTGAGGAGTTGCTGGTCCAATTCCCAGTCAGGGCACATATCTGGGTTGTGAGTTTGATCCCCGGTTGGGGCACATATGGAAGGCAACTAATCAATGTTCTCTCCCTTCTCTTTTCTCTCTCTCTCTCTCTCTCTCTCTCTCTCTCTCTCTCTCTCTCTCCCTTCCTCGGGTGAGGATTAAAAGAAATAATAATAAAATTAAAAAATATACACTTTTGCCCTGGCTGAGCAGTTCAGTTGGTTAGAGTGTTGTTCTGATACGCCAATATTGCAGGTTCGATCCCCTGTCAGGGCACATACAAGAATCAACCAATGAATGCATATATAAGTGGAACAAGAAATCAATGTTCTCCCTCCCTCTCAAATCAATAAAAATAAAGAATGTCCAAAATTGTAGAGAATTTAAAAATATATATACAATATATACATTTTTTTTGTATATAATATACTTTAATAAAGCTGGGGGGAGGGGAGAACAGAGTAGAATGGAGTTATTGCAACATAGATCATACGGCCCACAAAGCTGAAAATATTTACTGACTCTCGTCATTGAGGCTGGAAAAGAAGGTGAAAAAAGAGTAGAGTAAAATAGCAGTGTGGTTACCATGGGCAGAAGAAATTTCATTAACTCAGGTTTGGGCCCCTTAAGTCCAAAAGAAATTGTTAAAAATGTAAATTACTCGCCAACCCAGTGCTGGAAAGGAGTGAGCCCAAGAGGGCGTAAAGCAATTTGGTAACAGACAACAAGATCCTCAAAATGCCCTTCTAGAAACCTGCCCTGAGAAAACAGACCAGAGGATATGAAGGGCTCCTGAGGAAGGACGTTGGCGTGGTAGCCTTGAGCGTAAAGAATGATGTGGCTGCTCACAACCAAAAAGGCGCCTCCCACAAATTCTTTTTTTTTTTTAATTTTTTTAAAAAAATATATTTTATTGATTTTTTACAGAGAGGAAGGGAAAGGGATAGAGAGTTAGAAACATCGATGAGAGAGAAACATCAATCAGCTGCCTCCAGCACACCTCCTACTGGGGATGTGCCCGCAACCAAGGTACATGCCCTTGACCGGAATCGAACCTGGGACCCTTCAGTCCGCAGGCCGATGCTCTATCCACTGAGCCAAACCGGTTAGGGCCACAAATTCTTAATAACATCAGAAATGTCCCTGGTTTATCGTTCTACCAGAGAGATTATAAATCCTGGCTTCAAGGACTGTGGGCAAATTCGCTAACCTGCCTGTGCTTCAGTTTCCTCATCTATAACATGGGGGTTAGAAACACCCCACCTTATATAGGTGCTGGGGATTTGAATGAATTAAAATATGAAAAGGGAGTCAAATAATGCCTTGGTCTATAGTACGGGCTGCCTAAATGCTTTTAAAAGTAAAATGAAGAGAAACAACAAATTCTAAGCTCCATGTTCCAGACTTGAAAAATACATATTATTTTCTGTGTTAAAAAATTCAGAAGGAGCCCTAGCCAGTCTGGCTCAGTGGGAAGAGCATTGGCCTGCAGACTGAAGGGTCCCAGATTTGAATCTGGTCAAGGGCACATGCCTAGGTTCCTGTTTTGGTCCCCACTGTGGGGCTTGCAGGAGGCAGCCAATCAATGAGTCTCTCTCATCATTGATGTTTCTATCTCTCTTCCTTTCTGAAATCAATAAAAAAAAATATTTAAAAAATTCAGAAGGAAAGAAGCAGAAGTGTCGACAGCAGCTGCCTTTGGGCAGTGGTAGGTTTATGGGAGTTTTATTTTGTGTTCTAGATTTTTCTGTACTTCCCAAAGCTCCCACAAAGAATATGAATTACTCTCATAGAAATATGTCTCAAACAAGAGCAGAGAAAATTTCAAAGTCTTGGAGAGACCCGAGATATGCATGTGTCTGGCTGCCCCCTCTTCCACTGATCTCTGTGGTGCCTTTCCCAGATTGGGGGACAGGACTTTGGGGTTCTCCAGGCTTTTCCAGCCTGAGGGGAAGACTGCCCTTCAATTGCAGTGAGCAAATTCTACTGGGTGCAGAGGTTGGGCTCCTTCTTGCCTCTTCCTCCAGGGAGCCTTCCCTGACCTACGCATCTAGCTGACCTACCTAAGCGAATACATAGTCCAAATACTTGCCAAGTCCTCCTAGTATTATATCTCATTTTATTTCCTATATTGGTCCTCCCCAGTCTACAAACCCAGGAGGACCTACCCCTGATGCTCAGGCTATCCTGTACCCTGCTTCCCTAGCCTCAGCCTATTCTAGTTTGTCTAATACCTTGGATGCACCTATACCCCTCCTCACCTCAGGGCCTTTCCCCCTGCTGAGCCCCCCTCCCAGAACACTCTTCTTCCCACTTCTTTGCCATCTGACTGCTTCTTTCCTTTCACATCTTGGTTCAGAGCCAACACCTAACCCTTGAGCACCTGTTATGTGTCTGGTGCCACACTGAACACGTAACATGAATTGATGCATTTAAGCCTCATACTGATGTGGTGACATCGGGCTGTCAAGACCCCCAATTTGCAAATGAGACACAGAGAAGTTAAATAAATTGCTCAAGGGCACAGAGCTAGGGAGCAGGGAAGCCCGGGCCACCACCCCATCAAAAACGTATCTGCCTCAAACACGGATTCTCTGAAATAATTCTTCACTTATTTACTGCGGCCTCCTATTTGTTTATCGCAGGGGCTTTTGTCTATCTTGTGCACCGCTGTGTCCCCAGGGCCTAGAAAAGTTTGGTACATAACAGGCACTCCATAAATACTTGCTGAATGAGCAGACAGTGAAATGAATTAGCACATTGGGCCTGGCTGCAGCAAGAGGGAGTTAGGTGCGACACAACGAAGAACTGCTGGGGAGGACATCACTGTCTGTGTGTCCCGACGGCAGGAGGTCCCATGACTGCCCTGGGAGGCATGTCTGGAATGGAGGTTGCCTCTCAGAGGTCCTGAGGTTGGGCCAGGCGGAGCCCCTGGCTAGAGGCCAGAGTCGCAGGGCTGGGTGTTTGGAATAGATACAGAACAGAGGGGTGGTGCCTGGAGCTGGCCAGAAACAACATGGAAAAGCAAGAAAACACAGCTGCGTCCCCACCCTCCAGCTGTGCCCTCAGGTCCCACCATGAGGCTCTGGGCACCTTAGATATGAGGTTGGCATGAGAACCTGGGTCTCCCCTCTGAGCCCTGCTGCAGGTTCAGGCTAACTTCAGTTTAGGTCCTGGTTCGGCCACTTCCTGGCTGTGTGACACGGGGCAAGTGCAGCTTCCCCCCAAGCCCCCGTTTCCCCAACTATAAATAGAGTTGACCTGAAAATCATCAGCAGACACAGAAACAAGCACTGATGGAGTACCTACTGTGCGCGCTAATTCACAAGCATCCCACGGGGGGGACCGTTATTATGCCGCTTCACAGACAGGGAAGCCGAGGCCCAGAGAGAAGCTGCGCACTCAGGGACACAACAAGCGGACTTTCAACCCAGGTTCCCTGGCTGCACCGCCCTGCCTTCAGCCCCTCTATGGGTGAAACACTTAGCACAGCACCCAGCTCCAGGCTGGTGTCTGATAAAGAGCAGCTGCTGCCATTATTATGAATCATCCTGGCAGCTTCTCCCGGGGGCCTCAGGGCAGCAGCGGTAGGCAGCTGCCATTCTGCACAACCCACATCCCCTTTCTTGGCATGAAGACTCAGCACTTCCTTCAGGGAGCGCCCCTCAGGACTTGGCCACAGCAGGACCTGGGTGGGGCTCCTCTACCCCAAAGGGCTAGGCAGTGAGGGTCAGCGATGAGCTCAGTGTTGGGCATGTGACCCGAGCCAGCAATGAGTGCCACCGCTGGGGTTTTTATTGGCAACGTTTGGACCGAGGGGCTCCCTTTCCACTGAGCGGCAAGCACAGAGGCGCAGAGCGGTGGGGTCACCTTTGCTGGCCTAAGAGAGAAGCCTCAAGGGTGCACAGAGGAAGGGAAAGAAAGAAAGATTCAAGGGCACCAGGATCCAGCCATGCCTGAAGCTATCACTAAGTTACATTCCCTTGTCATGGCTTGAACTGGTCTGAGATTGCTTCCTGCCACCGACTGAATAAACGGAGCAAACCAACAGTCTGGGGGAGACCCTCTGACAAGTACGTTCTGTCTTCTGCACACGTCCAGTGTACGACACACGAGGACATACAGTTGACAGACACGCAGTTGCTCAGCATGATCCCTACACACTGAGTCGGTGGCATGATCTTGTCCCCTTTTTGCAGAGAGAGAAACAGAGGCTCCGAGGTGGGGATGGCCTGCATGGTGGAAGGCCGGGGCCGGGGCTGGGGCTGGACCCTACTGTTCAGATGAAGCACGAGGGGCCCTCCACTGCCCTCCCTGCCCAGCGTGGCTCACCTGCTGCCCCGTTGCAGCTTTGCTCTGTGATGCTGATCTTCTTCACCAAGTGGACGTTGCCAGTGGAGGCAGCGGGCGAGGAGAACACTGCCTCCACCACTTCATGGCTTCGGAAGACGGGGTGGCTCTCGGTTCCTCCAGATGCCACCAGGGCCCGCAGCCCTGCCCCATAGGGCTCCAGGCTCTGGGCCCGCTGTGCAGGGGCCCCAGCGGCCGTGCTGGCTGCCACCTCCACCTCCCGAGGTCCCTCTACCACTCGGATGGTGTCCACGCGAACTGGGCTGTCTGGCGGTGGCCAGGCCTGGGGCTGGGGCTCGGGCTGGGGGCCAGCCTGTCGGGCCTGAGCTGCCTGCAGCTCCTGGAGCGCTTTCTTGAGCTGGGTCTCCAGCACCGCGACCTTGGCGGCCAGGGCCACCTCCCCATCGGGCACGCCCAAGTCCCGCTCCCGGACCCAGGTGCCCACGCTCCGGGTCTCCAGTGGTGCCGGGTCCTCGGGAGCCTCGGGGAGATCAAGGCAGAGCTCGCTGCGGCCCCGGACCCCTGAAGGGTGGCCCAGGAATTTCTGGCTCTTGAGCTGCACCGTGAGCTGCCGCTTCTCTTCCTGCAGCACCGACAGCTTCACCTGCAGCACGGGGATCAGCTTCACCTGCTCCTCCAGCTGCCGCAGCTTCCGCAGGGCACCCGCCATCTGCTCCCGAACGTGGGCCAGGTGCCCGGCGCTGGGTGGCACTGGCGTGGACATGCCGGAGCCCCGTGGCGTCGGGGGCGGCAGCCCCACACCCACCAGCGAGCTGGTGGAGCTGGCCGCGCTGGGGGTCAGGGAGCCCAGGCCCGGGGGCGCGGCGGCCTGGTCCTCGAGGCGGCGCCGGGCGTCCAGCAGGGTGCGCTCCACGCGGGGGTTGAAGCCGCCGCGGGCCTCCAGGGCGCCGTACTGCGGGTAGAAGCCGCGGCCGCAGTAGGAGTAGGCCGAGTGGCGGCTGTCGGCGCTGGCGTTGGAGCACAGCGACTCGGTGGAGGTCCACCAGGAGCCCGGGCCGCGGGGCAGCGAGCCGAGGCGGGGCCGGCGCTGCACGGCCACGCGCCGCAGCGTGTGGCCCTTCTCGATGTCGTCCACGTACTTGAGGAAATCCAGGTCCAGGCGGTAGCCATAGGGCGTCTCCACGGAGTAGGGAGGGTCGGTCTCCTTGGCGGGGAAGGCGGGCGGGGAGGCTGGGCCCGGGGTCCCTAGGGCGGGAGGAACGCTAAGCCTGGTGGGCACTGCTGTCCTCTGCGGGGAAGATTGAGCCCCCGACCCCTCCATCCCCCCAGTCAAGATTTATTTGCCCAGGGGATGGGAGCCCACTGGCCCTCAGCGGCTCAACTGGGTCTCCAGTCTCGGCCCCCCCCCCCCCCCCCCAGGGCAGGGCCCTGTCTCCCTCTCTGACCCTCCAGGACAGTCAGGTTGTCTACATTCAGGCCCTCAGGGCAGCGCTGTGTTCCGCCACCTCCTACCCCAGGTAGGGCCCTATCTCTCTCCCTACCCCCAGGCCCCTCTCCCCTCCCTCAGGCCTCCAGGTCTGGCCCAGGTCCGTCCCCCAACCCCCCCTCCAACCCCTGGGCAGGGCCCCCTTCCTCTGCAGAAGTCTGACCTGGAAAGGGGGCTGGCGCGTGCAGGACTTGGGCCATCCTCCCCTCCGTAGATGTTCCTCACGCGTCACTGGGAGGCCTCGAGTCAAACTGCCTGCAGCACTGGCTGAGGCTCACCTGGGGAGAGGGGCCATGGCGACGGGAGTCAGGAAGGGTCTGCAGGGGACGGGGAGAGGGTGTGGCCACCACCCAGTTCCCAAGTAAGGACCCTCATATAGGTGTACACCCAGCCAAGCTGTGGAAAGGGGTGGGGTGATGGCCCTGGGGCCTAGAACAAAGAAACCAAACCTCCCAGCCTGCCTGCACATCTGTCCAGCCTCTGGACAGTCTCCAGCTGTTCCCAAAGCCCCGCCTCCACAAGGCCCCCAGGCTGGGGGCCCCAAGACCTACAGGCCCACCCTTCCTGCACCCTGTCCCTCAGCCCAGGCCAGGAGCTGGTATGGGGTCAGATGGGGGCTGGGGTGCTCATAGGGGGACAGCTATCCTGCCAGGATCTGAGGAGACAGAGACAAAAAAGAGAGCTACAGCTCAGGGTAGGGGACCCCAAAATAGAGCTGGGTCAGGGAAGTTGGGGTAGAGGGGGTAGGGAAAATTGTGGGGAGGCAGTGAGGAGCAAAGCCTTTCCCCTTTATGGAAACAATTTTCTCTAAAAATAAACAGTTTCGCTGCTGGGCTACACGAGAACTTCCTGCCCACCCCCAGGACATGTCCGGCTGGGGAGAGGGTGCCCAGCAGCAGGGGCGGTGGCCCGGGAAGTCATGGGGGTCTGAGGAGGAAGTAAGAGGGGGCGCCTGGAGGCTGCAAAGGGGAGGGACAATCCGGGCCTCTCACTCACTCACTCACCCCCCCCCAAGTCCTGGAGTCCAGCCAGGGTCCTTCTGTCCCAAACACTCCGTCTGAGCTCAGCCAGTGCTTTCTGCGGTCTGACCTCCAGCCACCCTCCTGCAGGGGCCCAGGCCCACCCACCACCAAGGAGGACCCTTCCCAGCCCGCGGGTGCCAGAGCAGGGGGTACCTGGGAGGACGGGCCAGGTGGGACACCGGTTGGGCATGAAGGCGGGGCTGGGGCTCCAGGGGCTGCCGAGCTGTTCCTTGTCTCACACGCCGGTGTCTCTCGATCAGCGTCTTGCTTTGTCTCTCTCCACGTCTCTGTCTCTCTGTCTCTGTGCTTCTTTCTCCCCGTCTCTCCACGTCTCTATCCTCACTTCTCTGTCTTGCAACGCCTGGAACACGCAGTCACCAAATGTAGGAGATTTGGTTTCCCGCCTGCCTGGAGGCTCAAGTGATTTCTGGGGACCGGAGAGCCTGGAGGCGGGGTGCAGGGTTGGAATAGCCTGTGGGGGTGCCTGGAGGTGGACAGGGCCGGGGTGAGTAAGCGAAACAACACTGATCTGCGTATCAGACAACCCCACCAGGTGGGGAATGTGGAGGCACAGAAATGTGCAGTGACTTGCCCAGGGTCACAGGAGGGGGAAATGGCTGGTCCTGGATTTGAACCTAAGCCCCACAGATTCCCCACTGCAGGCCGAGCCGCCCTCACCCCGACTCCACATCCCCCCGACCCATTCCCAGACAGAGACTGGGGTCTGGGGGCCTCTCACCCCGGCCGTCCTCAGGGAGAAAGCAGGTTGGAAGCGGGATGTCTGCGGCTGGGGCCCCGCTCCCTCTCTGGAGCCCCCGGGGCACGGGGAGGGGACACAGATAGAGGCCGAAAGGAAGACCGGACACTCACAGAGGAGACAAGGTGGGCGAGGAAGGGGCACAGGGTCCGGCGGGCCTGAATGTCCAACCGGGTCTCCCTTAAAGACCCCCTCGCTGACCGGCCTGGATGTCTCCGGGGTCTTCCCGCCCCTCTCCGCGCCCCAAAGATGGGGGTGAGGAGGACCCCACCCGAGCAGGGAGGGGCGGGGCCTGCGGGGTCCCCGGCTAATGGCAAACAGCTGCCGCTCCCCACGCCGGCCCAACCGCCAGGACAAGGCCCAGCCCAGCCGGACTCCCGATCGCCTTCCCCGCGCCGGGGCCTGGCTCCGGGCGGCGGCCGAGGGCGAAGGGAGACAGAGCGGGGCGGGGGTGGGGGGTGGAGGGGACGGAGGTGGGGAGAGGGAGGCAGTGATGGGGCGGAGGGGTAGGGTGAGAGGTACAGATGGAAGAGGACGGGGTGGGGGAGAGAAGCAGGGACGGGGGTCAGAGCTGGGAACCGGGCGGAGACGCTCAACAGTCCGCAAAGTTTGGGCTGAGATGGTGGAGTTAGAGCCGCGGCTGGTCCAGACCCGCGAGGTCACGCCCCGCAGTTGGCGGTGGTGAAGGACCACGCTCGAACCCCGAACCGGACTCGAACCCCGATCCGACCCCCCGGTCCTACTCGCCTCCCGCGCTCTGGCCGCCGCCGTCCCCCGCGTCCCGCTGCCCGTGCGTCCTCCGCGCGCCGCCGCCCGGCCTCCGGGCCTCGGCTTGGCCCCGCCCCTCCAGCGCCCCGCCCCCGGTCCAGGCCACGCCCCCTCCAGTGCCCCGCCCCCGGCCGCCCGTGGGCCGGGCGGCGGTGGGGCGATGGGGCCGGAGGACACGAGCTCACCTGGACGGCAGGTGTGTGCGCGCGCATGGGGGTGCCAGTCCTCGTCCCCGCGCCTCTCCTCCCCGCGTCCCGGGCCCCGCCGGCTGCAGCTGGGCCGCGCGGGGGGCGGGAGGGGGCGGGACTGGCCCGGGCACAGAGGGCGGGCGCGGCGGCGGGCGATCGCCCCTCCCCCCGCGGGCCGGAGGCTGGAAGCGGCGCAGCGCAGGCCTGGTCCACGGTGGCGTGACCGCCGCGGGGCGGACAGGGAGCCGGGTCAGTTCGAGGCTGCACGGGCCGTGACTAAGGCCTGGGCTCTCTGGCCCTCCAGACCTGGGCTCCAGTCCCAACCCCACCAGGCCTTTAAGTGCCCGGTGCCTCAGTTTCCCCATCTCTAAGATGGGGTTAAGAGTGTGCCTGATAGTGGTGCTGAGAAGATTCAATAACCATGAGGCAGGGGCCTCTTGGAGTTTTTTGGACCTAAAGACCCATAAATGGAGCAGTGTCTTTCTGGGAGCCTTTTAGTACAGGACTGGGCAATCAGCAAGGGTTTAATAAATGTTCCTTTTGAGAAAAAAAAAATAAACGTTACTATTATTCCCATGTACATGCCACGTTTTCATTTGTGTGTTGCCTCCCCATCAGAACGGCAAGCCCCACAAGGGCAGGCATTTGCAACTGTGGTCACTGCTGTGTCCCTGGGACCCAACAGAGTCTCTGGCTGTCGAAGATCAGAGTGTGGTTACGTGGTGCACCCATGACCCAGCCCCCAGGGACCACACCACACAGGCTGCTCATAAAAAAATTTTTAAATTAAAAAAAGGTAAGAAGTATCAGTGCACAAACAGGAACAGAGGGCCCAGCACCACATGCAATGTGGTCACCCCAAGTGGGGCAGAACCCCAGAAAGGCACAGAGCTGAGGCCAGGATGCTGGTTCCTCTGGGTGTGGTTTCAGGCTCTGTGAGCTCAGAGGTCAGCCTTCCGGAAACTTGCTCTGTTCAAGGAGTTCCTGGGGGAGGAATGAGGTGGGTCAACATGGACACAGGGCCCCCAACTCCATAGTGCTCCCAGCCCTCTCCCTTCTCCTCCGCCAAAGCTTCGTTTAGAGTCTTCCCTGCTCCTTTCACATCCGTTCTGATCTGGCTGTGGGTTCATAGATTCTCTCCCGGAACCCACCACCAGAATCGTATCGCGCCCATTTTACGGATGTAGAAACTGAGGCTCAGAAAGATGAAGTTGTGTGTCTGGGACCTAATGCACTAGGATCTGAAATGATTGCCCAGAGTGTGCATTTGTGCACATGCCCAGGTAGTCACATCCTTGTGTGCAAAGCCGAATGCATATGCTGATGTGCACGACAATCCCCGTCCTGTCTAGGGGATGGGGATTGCCCTCTCTAGGGTGGGGGGCCTGGGTCAGGCACCTGAGGCTGGCGGTGGTTGGCGCCAGCAGCTGGGGCAGGCGCTGGGTGAGCAGGGGCTGCAGAGCCTCCCTTAGGCGGGCGTAGTTGCGCTCCAGCTCGCGGTGGTACTCCTTCTGGTCTGGCCCAATCAGGGCCTTGTTCTTTCGCAGCGCATCCTCGCACCTGAGGGCCAGATGGCAGGGTGCTCAGGTACTGGCACTCAGGAGAGAAAGCAAGACCAGAGGTGGAGGAGGAGTCCATGAGGTGAGTCAGGAGCTAGAACCGGGGGGTAAAGTAGGCAGAGAGCCATGATGAGGGTTGAAGGGGCTCTAATGGGTGAGGTCAGGCCTACTTCTTGCAGAAGTCCTTGAAACAGAGCCGTAGCTTGTTGTGATGCCTGAAGAGTTTGGGGTCTTCTGGGATCTCTGCCAAAAACACCTGGGCCACCTCCAAGGGACCCTGTGGGGTAAGAAGGCCTTGTGAGGGTGTCTGCATGGACCCTTGGGGGCCTCGGGCAGCCTGCACACCCCACCAGCCATGCCTGGTTCACAGTGGGTCCCACAGAGCCCTGTAGCACCATCTGCAGCATCTTGGCATCGGGCGGGTCCTGTTCGGTGGCAAAGGCCAGCTCCCGTGTCTTCTTCTGCATGTCCTCGATGGCCACCTCCACCGGCGTCAACACCGTCTGCAGGGTTAGGGGCAGCATGCCCTGGCTGGGGCCTGACCATATCCTACCCAGGCCAGCCCAGGGCAGCTGCGGTGGGAGGGGCCTGAGTGGCTGTGTAATGAACAGTGTGTGAGGGCGCCTGCCTGCCTGGCTCTGCCAGGGCCTGGCTCAGCTGCCTTTGTCTAGCTCTGGGGCTTTGGTCTGGTTGTGGTGCAGCCTTGGATCAGCTGGGTCTGGAGGTAGAGATTTGAGGCTACAGATTGGGGCCTGGAGGTTGGCGTTGGGAGCCCCCTCCCCTCCCCCAACCCGGGTTTGGGAACCCCACCTACCTCCTCCCGGTGGCACACGCGGATACGTGTCTTGATGTAGGGGAAGGCACGGTCCGTGCTCAGCAGTGTCTTACGCTTGTGTTGCTCATGCAGCTCCCCGTGAGCACGCCCGTCAGGCGTGAAGGGCGTGCAGAACAGGAAGGTGCGCAGGCCGTAGTTGCGGTCGAAGTAGGTCACCCGGTCCTTGAGCTCATAGGTGTCGAAGTGCGGTTCCACGTATGTGATCTGGATGTAGGCCTGGGGCACGGGGCTCCGGTGTGAGGTTCCCACAGCCCCCCCATACCCCCCTGGGGCTTGCCAGCCTCCCAGCAGGGCTCTGTCCCTGGAGAAAGGGGATTTGGGCCTCCATGGGTCCAGGGGTTTTACATCTGGGAGTCCCAGGTCTCCTTATGTTTGGGAATTACCTGAGGTTAAGGATTTGGGGGTCCCTGGAGGACGTAAGCTTTGGACTTTCTCAGTGGAAAAGGATTTGAGGGTTTCCAGGAAACAGTGCTGAGAATCACCCCGACTATAAGATTTTGGGGACCCCAGAGGCATGGTCAGGAACCCTCACCTTCTGGGAGTCAAGCTTGGTCTTGTCGACAGGGTTCGAATCTTTGACAATCTCGACCACATCTTCTCCAAACCTCTCCGTGTAGAACTCCTGGAGACACGGGGCTGACTCGGGCCGCACAGCTGCAGCCCCCCCCCCACCCCAGGGCAGCCTTGTGCCCCATCCACCCACCACCACTGGGACGTGCCTCCAGCCGATGTGAGATCTCGGCCAGCTTCGTGATGGATGGCTCCTTGTACACAAACTCCTGCTCGTCCAGGTCACCAAAGCGGGCACCGTAGAAACCCACGCGGAAGTATGTTCCAAAAACGCGCTGGGGCTGCGGGAAGGGGGAGTGTTGACCAGGAGGTCCCGCGGGAGGTCCCCCTGCTCCCGAAGTGCGGGCCTCACATGTGGAAGAGGTGGACATGGGCCGGAGACCCAGAGCACTTTGGGTAGCATGTGAGGATTCCAAGAATATCATAGCACAGGCAGAGGCAGGGGGACCCCTTGAATATTGGGCATGGACTCAGACGACCACCGACTGCCCACACCCTTGCTCTTTCTCCCTAGCTTCTGTCTCCTGCCTCCCCCAAATCTGCCTCCTCATTTATCCCTTATATGAAGTAAGAACTGGGGCTATATTGCTCACAGCTGTATCCTCAATGCCTACTGGGCTGGGTATGCAGCAGGTGCTCGATAAATGCTTGGGACAGAGACTCTGCCTCTTTTGTTCCAGGGCATCCTCTCCCTCCTCCCCCGCCTCCCCGCCCCCACCAGAAAGGAAGGGGTGGCTCCATGTTCACTCACCAAAGCAGATCCAGGAGGGGTGGGGTAGGCATCAGGAGAGGGAGGTGGGGAGCAGGGGACAGAGAGACAAAATCATGGGGGAGGTCAGAGGTCAGAGCCACCAAACTCCCAGGGTCCTTGTTATGCTGCCCCATGAGACCAGAGACCCAGGGAGGGAGGGGACCTGCCTCCCCCACCCGGCCCCCACCCAGCCCTCCTGCCTCGGCTCTGGGTTCTTGCCATCTTTGGCCAGAAAATTCTCCCCAAACTAGGAGATGCCTAAAAATAGACCCAAGTGGGGGAAAGGCGGGAGAGGGGGAGCATTAAATGGCAATGAGGAGCAGAGATCCTAGGGGAGGTAGGGAGATAGGGAGAGACAGACCAAGAGAAACAGAGGGAGCGATCAAGACAGGGAGAGGGACAGGGAGAAATGGAGGGAAAGAGAGAAGAGACAAAGAGACAAAGAGAAAAAGAAAGAGTCAGAGCCCCCTCGCAGGCCATGACTGAGCAGGCCCTGCCCAAGGGAGGGGTGTCTCTGGAGAGCTCCCAGCTGGGTGAGTCACAGGCTGCCCTGGAGATTTGGGGAAAGGAGGGGGCATCTGGGGGAAAGCAGTGGGGTATGTCATTGCCCACTGAGTCCCCGCGCCTGTGCCCCGGCAGCCATGCTCCTCCGGCGCCCCCTGGTGGCTGTCCATTACCACTGCTGCTAGCCTCTTGGGGGCCCCAGAGGCAGATGGCCACCAGGCCCACTTACCTCCCAGCCAGAGCTCTGTGGGGAAGAGAAGAGTCAAGAGTTTAGCCTGGGAAGGTGGGGTGGGGCCAAGGGCAGGGTCTGGGAGGGCACCATGGGCCAACCTGGTGCATAATCTTGGTGAAGGCCTCCTGCAGTTTGCCGTGCACAGCAGCCAGCTTCTTGTAGTCACGGTGGGCTTCCAGTATGGGAATCAAGTTCTTGTACACCTCGTTCACCGCCTCATAGAGCCCACCCTGGGATGGGGTGGAGCAGGTCAGGATTCCCAGCACTCTCCCTGGTCCTCTCCTGCCTGGAACAGCCCTCCCTTCTGTGCTCTGACCCACCTTCCAAGGCCCCATCCTCCACCACCTCCTCCAGGAAGCCTACCCTGACCACCCCCACCTGATGGGGCATCAGCCTTTCCACTTGGCCCCTACATACCCTGCTGTGGTCTCCACCATGATTACGATGGACAAGGCACTGTGTACATCTACACTTTACCCATGTTCCTTCATTGGTGGGAGGAGGAACTCCCCCCCCCCCCCTCAATTCCTCAGAAGGGACACTGAACCTCAGAGACGCCTCCCCAAGGTCAGGACCGGAACACCTGCCCACCTGGCCTCTGACCACTGCCTCCTGGCACATGGTAGTGACCACTCATGGGTGCCCCTTATCCCTAGCTGGTGCCAGCATCAAGCCTGGCATACAGCAGGTGCCCTGGATGTTGGCTATCAGAAGGTCTATGTCTACCTTCTGGCTTCTTCCCCTCATGAGGCCTTTGTGAGACTCCAGCGAAGTGACAATAATGACAACAACATCACTAGGAGGGCTGGCCCCACAGGAAAGAAATCTCGCTGGGCAACCTGACCCTGAAACTGAGTGGGGCCCCAGATGTAACTATCAGTTCCCAGAAGCGCAGGAACTGAGGAACAGGTCAAGCAAGCAGCCCCGGGCAGGCGAGAAAACCTTTGGAACAGTTCCCATCTCCAACAAGTGAAATGCAGAAAAACCAATTGCTTTCGCACAAGCAAGCAAGTTGGAGGAGAAACTCCTTTACAACAATAAAAAATAAATGCCCGGGCACCAACTTATCAAGGAATGCATGTCCTGGCTGGGTGACTCAGTTGGTTACACCAAAAGGTTGTGGGTTCGATTCCTGATCAGGGCACATACTCAGGTTGCGGGATGGGTCTCTGTTCGGGGTGCGTACAGGAGGCAACCCATGAATGTTTCTCTTTCACATCGATGTCTCTCTCTCTCTCCCCTCCCCTCCCTTCCTGTCTACAATCAATAAGAAACATATCCTCCGGGTGAGGCTTAAAAAATAAAAAAGAATTCCTGTTAACTTCGTCATGCGGGATAAAAGTTGTGTAAAAGGGACTTTCTCAGTGGGAGTTGCACACAGATACTCGTGGGTGTGACGCTGTGATATCAGATTGGTCTTAAGCTGGAATTTCTCCGACTCTAAAGTGCACAGGAATCTGAGACCTTGTTACAGTGCAGGGCTCAGAGAGTTGGGTGGCCCAGGACTCTGTGTTCTAGCAAGCCCTGGGCGATGGCCGCACTGCTGGTCCTCTGACCACACTGAGTAGCAAAGGTTTATAAACCCGAACGATCATGTTCTGTTTCATCAATTTGTGAAAACTGGGATCTTGTTTTTTTCAGATGTCAAAAAGCCCCACAAAAACTCAAAAAAAGATCCTCTCTCCCATTTTTTTTTTTTGGAGGCAACCTAATTTTTGGTGGCCTTGTTTTGACAAAGCTAAAAAAAACACAAGAAAAAACAACAACAAAAGAGAAAACCCAAAAAAGCTGGAGGTAAAGAGGCGATGAAGCAAGACGGTAAATACAGGTGGTTGATGAATTTGAGTGCTGGGTGTGGGGTTGGTGGGGGTACAACTTTCTTCTTTATGTGTGCTTGAAGTTTTCCTTTCTTTCTTGGTGAGGGATGGACATACTAATCTTCTCTGTATCGTTCCAATTTTAGTATATATGCTGCCGAAGCGAGCACCGAAATGTTCTATAATAAAAAAGGTTTTAATACTAGCTGAATGTGTTAAAGGCTTATGCTATCCAGCCTGCATGTCATGGGTTTAACAGAGAGAAAGGCAGGTCATGGAGGCCTTTGAGGGTCCCCATTCTCCTCTGCAAATCCCCCAGCTTCCCCTCAAGTAACTGGGAGCAAGTATAGGGCCATCAGCACATCTATGATGCCACTCAGCGCGAGCCCTGAGCCCAGAGCCCTGCGGCAGCCCCAGCCTCACCATGGTGAAGTAGGCGGCCGCCTGCTCCAGCAGCCCCACCAGCCCCAGCTCCGTGAAGTGCTTCCCGGAGCAGAAGCCCTCCTCGTCAGGCGACAGGATGTCGTCAGAGATGGCAGACTCCTCCAGCACGTTGGACGAGATGTTCTGGGGTGGGAAGTGGTGTCAGGGCCTGGTCCTCGCCGCACAGGTGCCACCCCCACCCTTGCCCACCACCCCTCCCCCTCCGACCACTCACTTGGAAGGAAACGCAGCCCACGGGCAGGTAGCGGCTGTCCTCCAGCAGGGCCAGGTACTCCGCCACCAGCGCGGCCGCGTGCACCATGCACTGTGCAGCCTCCGCGTGGTTGCCCAGCTCTGCGTGCTTCCCCGCCATGTTCTGCAGCCACGTCAGCCGCAGGTCCGGGGAGCCCTGGTAGCCCCGGGCAATCCTGGTGCCCAGGTGAGGGGGATGTGAGGAGGATGGGGACTCACCCTGCCCGCCCGCCTGCCTCTCACCTGCCCACTCCTTCACTTGTTACCCCACCCATCTGCCCCACTGACCAGCCAATCTCCTCACCTGTACTCCATTCACCTGTCCATCCAGTCACCTATTTCCTCCCTTCACCTGTCTCCTCACCTATCCATCCCCTCACCCGTCTCACCTGTCCATCACCCGTCTTACCTGTTTCCTTACCTGTCCTACCTTCCATCCTTTCACCTAAACCATCCCCTGATCCCTTAACCCACCTGTCCATCCCCCTTCTGTCTCACCTGTCCAGTCCCTCGCCTATTCCCTTGCCTGTCCAACCTCTCACCTGTCTTCCCATTTGCCTGCCCATCATCTCCCCTCTTCCTCTATTCACCTCCCTTATCCAATCGTCACTGCCCATCCTTTCACCAAACCCCCAAGTGTCCTTCTCTCACTTGTCCTTCTGCTCATCCGTCTACTCTGCCACACCCCACTCACTGATCCCCTCGCACATGCACCATGTCACCTACCTTCCCAGGCCCGTCCCTCCTCATGGCCCCTAACTTCCCTACCTACATCACCTGCCGCTCCGTCTCCCACTCCCCAATTTCTTACTAAATACCCCTTACCTCTCCTCCAGATTTACTTACCCCCCTGATCTGCCACCCCTCCACCCGCTGCTTGCACTTCACCTGTTTCTCCCTCCTGTCTCCTCTTGTCCTTGTTCTGTAGGTCCATCGGGCCCCCTCCTCATCGGTTCATTTATGAGCCCTCACCTGACTTGTAGCCTCACCTGTCTGCTTACCTGACCCCTCGCTCACCTGATTTTCCCCATCTGCCCGCTCTCCTGGCCCTCCCCCGTCCCTCCTTACTTGTCCCTCTTGTCACCTGCATGTTCACCTGCTCCTCCCTCGCTTTCTCATGAATCTACTCATCTGCCTGAGGGTGAAGGGCTGAAGGTCCCCCAAGCTCTCCTCACCTGTACATGAGGTCAATGAGCATCTCGGGGTCCTCCTGATGCTCCTTCATCTTCACCGTGTCCGTCAGGATCATGTGCAGGTTGAACATCAGGTCCTGGACCTGGAGTGGGAAGTGCGCCTCATTGGGAAGTGACAGGGCCAAGGCGGTGGGGTCAGGACTCCAAGGCAAAGACCCTGGCAACCGAGGTGAGCCTGGTAGTTGTGGACAGGGCGGGGGCCTGGCGGGGTCACCTGCTCGGCGAAAGTGCTGTCTCGCAGCCCCACGTCCTCCTCGGCGTAGGTGAGGATGGTCTTGAGTGACCGTCGCAGGTGCTCCTCGCTGAAGTTCTGCGTTGTCCCCACCAGGGACGACAGTGACATGGTCACTTGCATCTTCACACGAGCAAAGTTCTGTGGGGGCCGAGGGGGAGAGCTCATCTGGGGGCCTCGGACCCTCCCACCGGCGCCTGCTCGACAGGCTCACTTCACCCTCTCCCTGCCCACCCTGCACCTACCTATCACCCCCACCCCCGGGCGGCTGCCCCCACTTACGTTGCCAATCTCGAAATTCTGGCGCATGAGGAGGTAGAGGGAGGCGCTGGCGTGCGTGCGGATGGTGCTGATGCGGCTGCCGCAGTGTCGCAGGAGCCGCAGGCAGAGGTCGGCGCACAGCTCCGTGTCCTCCTCGAACAGCAGCTCTGGGAACTGCCCCCCAGGGCCAAGACGGACACTGGTCAGCCCCTCCCCATGCCCGATCAGGAGGTCCCCGGTGGGGACTGGGGCGGGGGCACCTGTCTGCGCTCTGCCTTCTTGGCCATGCACAGCAGGCTTGGGAGTCAAACCCGGGCTAGCTCCTTGCGGTGTGACACTGGGTGAGTGCCTTTGCCACCCCCCTCCTCAGTTCTCTCCTCTGTCAACTGTGGCTAAGGAGTGTCTGCCTCATGGAGCTGCTGAAAACACACTAGGTGCTCAGCGACTGGCGGTCACTGTGACGCTAAGAGCCGCAGCTGCCGGGTGGTGCTCACCTTGGACACCAGGGACCGCTGAGTGGCCAGGCCATGCTGCAGGAAGAGGGCACTCTGGGAGCTACCCAGGCTATACAGCACCACCTTCAGCACCGCACCCAGGACACTCTCCCGGGCCTCGGACAGGATCACCGTCTGCGGGGTCAGAAACCCAGCGGTTAGGGACTGGCTTGGTTGTGGAATCAGGAATGGAGAGGGGTTCTGGAGTCCGAGGTCACAAGGCATTGGGGCGGGTCAGAGGTCAGGAAGATGCTGGGTCCAACCTTACCTGCACGATGATCTCCAGCGTGTCCAGAACTACCAGGCTCACCTCGGTGGCCAGGTTCCCTTCCACCAAGGCCTCCTGCTCCATTTCATCCTTGGTCCTGAAGGAGAGAGGAGGGGGCTGGGGAGCCTCTGGAAGCCTGACCCTACCCTGCGGCTCAGCTCCCCCCCTCACCGCCCCCCAGGCGCCTGCGGTGCCAGTTCTCTGGAAACTGGTCTACTTCTAGCCAACACCTACTTGTCCACGCGGTCCGAGGTTTGCTTCCAGTGTGTGACGCTCTTCCGCCAGCGGACGTTCTCCTGGTTCCCAAACGGGCTCCTCTCTGAGATGGGCCGGCACATGTTCACAGACGTGCAAAAACGTAAGGACACACATGACTGAGAAACACACAGGCACCAAGATACCCAGGTGGGCTAACCTGTGAGGACACGGGGTGGTGCGGGTGCTGGCCGCGTGGACGCGGTTAGGCCTGAATGACTTGTGAGAACAGATGGGGACACGGATACCCATGTGCATGGGGATGATGCATGGATTTCTGGGGAAAGTGAGTCGGACAGAGAGGTAGGGACGGGCCCACTTGGGGCCCCTCGGACACAGGCTGAGAGCAGCTGGTGGGGACGGGCGTGGGGGACATCTCCCTCTCACCACGGCTCCGTCGCACCATCTCTTGTCGTGCTCCAATGGTGCCCAAGATGGCTTCCTCCAGGCGAGCCTTCATGTCCAGTGACTTCTTGAACGTGAGGCTGTTGATGCGCTCAAAGGCCTTTTTCCCCTGGGAGGTCAAAGAACGGGTTCCAGGCTGACCGCCCTTTCCATGGGACCTGGGCTAACCCGGTCCCGCTTCTCCGGGCCCTTTCCGACCTCCGGGACCCTGTGCTTAAAGACACATCTCTCTTCTTTTTTAAAAAATATATTTTATTGATTTTTTACAGAGAGGAAGGGAGAGGGATAGAGAGTTAGGAACATTGATGAGAGAGAAACATCGATCAGCTGCCTCCTGCACATCTCCCACTGGGGATGTGCCCACAACCAAGGTATATGCCCTTGACCGGAATCGAACCTGGGACCCTTCAGTCCGCAGGCCAAAGCTCTAGCCACTGAGCCAAACCGGTTAGAGCCACAGCTCTCTGCTTTATGGCCAACTCTCAGCACCTTCCAAATTCTATTTACAAGAACAATCCTCCCTTTTTCCTTGGGCTCAGCACAGAAACAGTCCACCCCTTCGTGCCCAGACCACAGCACCGAGAGCTCTGTATGCATACTCGGCCTGCCTCCTACCCTCCAATCCCCTGCCCGCGCCCCAAACCTTGTACTCGAAGGCAGCCAGGCAGAGGTACAGCAGGTCCAAGAGACGACCCAGCTGAGGGAGGGACAGGTCGGCAGTCCAGTGCTGCAGGAGGGCTGGCTCTGCATTCTTCAGCACCCACAGCACACACACCAGCAGGGTCCGGCTGGACTCGGCGGAGAGAGGACAGCCGGAGCGAGAGCCCTGGGCCAGAGAGGGGACAGGGGGCTCAGAAGGGACAGAGTTGATGTTCATTTTCTCCAAATAAGATGAGAACTGGCTGATTTGAATCTCGTTACATAACTTCTATTACCAGGTGGGATAATGTCTCTAGAGACGGGCCCCATACTCACAGTCGCTGAGCCCTGGGAGATGCTGGCCCGGGAGCCAGGGGCCAGGGGCCCACCAGCAATGGCCATGGCCACTGAGGGGTTGATGGTGCCTCCAAAGTCCCCTTCCCCTTCTGTGTCTGAATCGAGCATGGAAGCCAGCCTTGACCGTTGACCCGGGCCCTCTGGGGGTGGGAGCAGGGGGGAGAGAAAAAGGAGTCCTGGTAAGTGCTGTCCCTCTGCCTCAAATTTCAGCTCACAGGTCACCTCCTCATGGAAGCCCTCCTTGATACCACCCCCAGACCAGTCTCCAGCTATCTACTCCCAGAGCTCACTTATTGTACTTGTAAGCAGATACATTCATTGTGTCCACAGAGGCAGGGACTGTATCTACTCTGGCCACTGCTATATGCTCAACACTCAGGACATGGCCTGGCCCACAGGAGCGGTAACTGTAAAGGTGATGGTGGTGATGACAACAACAACAGAGGCTGCCGCTATTGTTATAGCAGCAATTGGCACCGACACAGCATCTCCTATGTGCCAGGTGCTAGTCTAACGTAAACAACATTAACTACGGATCTTAAAAAAACACACCTATGAGAGAAGGACTTTCATCATTCCGACTTTGTAGATGAGGGAACTGAGGTTAACCTCTCTGTAAGGTGAAGTTACTTGCCTGGGGTCACGCAGTAGGTTGGTACATAGTAAAGCCGATTTTAATCTAAATGGTCTGGTTCTAAAAATCTACGATCTTATAAGAGTAGCCCTTCCCCTCTCCCTTTCCCCCAAAACGTCTCACCAGAGAGAGGAGCAGCCAACAGACAGGTCTCACCCTAGAGATTCTTGAAACAAAAGGTCAACTGAGCCTCACTATCGCTCCAGCCCAGCTGGATTGAGGTGATCGACCCCTTAACTCATCTGCTAAGAGCGGGGAAGAGGAAACCTCACTAGGGAAAAATGACATTGCTCCCGTCCTGGTGGTTCTTTTATATACAATGTTCAAAATACGATAAAAAGCTACAAGGTATGTGAAAAGGCAGGGAACGGGTTGATAAGAGAGAAGAGACAGCAGAAGGAGGCAGGTTGATGACCAAAAGCAAACGCAGTTCTTAAAATAAAAAGTAGTGGAAAAGATGGACTAAAATGGGTAAGAACATGGAGAATTTCAACAGAGAATTGAAATCTACAAAAATAAAATAAAACAGACATCTTCCTACTGAAAAATATAACACCTGAAATTCAGAACTCAACAGTTGGGGCTAACAGAAGTCTGGACACAGCAGAAGACAGAAGCAGTGAACTCAAAGACAGGTGAACAGAAAATTCCCCAAGTGAAGCACAGAGAGAAAAAAGAATGGGAAACAGAACAGGGCAGAGCAGGCACGTGTGACATGATCAAAAGGTCCAACTTACGTGTAACTTAAGTCCCAGAAAGAAAGAAGAAAAAAAGGCAGATAAAAAAGTTAGAAATAAAGACTAAGAATTTCCTCCCAATGCTGGAGGGGACCAATCCACAAATCCCAAGTCTGTGCTTCCCACCACGGTGTACATGTCCCTAAGTAGTGCCAGTGAATGTGCTAAGAGTGAATGACTGAATGCAGGGCTGCAACTGCCTCTGGCCCCAATGTTCCCCACCTTCCGTCCTCACATCCTCTCTTCTCAGAACCTAATAAATGTTATAATCCTATCTCCCATCTATTGTGGGCTGACAATGTCCCAGTGCTAAAGCTCTGCAAATGTTTACATAACTACAGGAAGTAGTTAGTGTCACCACTGTCCCCATTTTATAGGTGAGAAGCCTGAGGCTCAGAGGTTAATGGCTTGCCAGGGCCCTGCACCAGCACTTGAACCCAATCTATGAACCCTAACGCCATGTGTTTACTCCTAACTGTGCTCTCCCACCTTCCCCAACCTGAGCCTTATGTGTCAATCGAGCCCTTGGATTGTGTGACTCCGACGGCCTGGCCCACTGACCAGCGAAATCATGCAGCCGTGGCAGCGTGTCCCGGACGATCGACAGCAGCGGTAGGTACAGCTCGGCCACCCGGGCCTTTACTGTGGCCTCGGCATAACGGGGGTCAACATCATGGCCACAGAGCAGGTTGTGGATGGCACTGATGACCTTCTTGTGCAGCTGGGATGCCCTGTGGAGTAGTGAGGTGCTCAGGAGAGAGTAGACGTAGTGCCTGGACCAGGGGTGGGCAAACTTTTTGACTCGAGGGCCACAATGGGTTCTTAAACTGGACCGGAGGGCCGGAACAAAAGCATGGATGGAGTGTTTGTGTGAACTAATATAAATTCAAAGTAAACATCATTACATAAAAGGGTATGGTCTTTCTTTTTTTTTAGTTTTATTCATTTCAAACGGGCCGTAGTTTGCCCACGGCTGGCCTGGACCTTCCCACCCGCTGGAGCCAAACAGGGCCTGTGCTCACCCCTCGGCCTCAGGCTCCAGGGCCAGCGCCAGTTCCGTCAGCAGGAGCCCAGCCAGGAAGTGCTGCTGTCGGAACGGCCCACTCAGCTCAAACATGCTGACCACCTTGGGGTCGGGGGCTTGGCTGGAGAAGGTGGAGCTCTGCAGGGGGCAAAGGGAGCGGGAGGAAGCAGGACGTCACCAGGGGCCAGGGGGCGCAGGGGAGGGGCTAGGATGAACTCATCTGAAGTTAAGGTTAAGAGATGAGAGACTGGAATTATCTGGAGGGGACAGGGAGCACGGTTCAGATCAGAGGTAAGAGAATGAGGTGAACCTGTGAGGTGGTGGGAATGGGGTCAAAAGTCAGAGGTCCGAGAAACAGCAGATGGAAGGCAGGTCTGTGAGTTAAGATTCAGGAGGGAGACATTAGAACCTGGTCCCTAGGAACGTGCCGGGCATGAGGGGTCAGAGGCGAAGGGTCAGAGGTAAGGGGATGGTCCCCCCGGACAGTGGCCCACCCTGAAAAGGACAAAGACGAGGGGAGCCCCAGAAGATAGGTTGAAGGTGAGAGGTCATAGGTCAAGGGAGGAGCCAGAAGGGAGGCCGGCCCACCTGCGAGGTGGTCGAGGACACGGAGGGGGAGGGTGAGGCCGGGGGCGACAGCGGGCAGCAGGGCAGGTTGAGGACCACATAGTGCTCGTGGCTGCACAGGATGCGGGTGAAGTCCATGCGCAGGGTCAGCAGCGCCACTGGGCTGGGGGCCGACTGCAGCCGCGTGGCCACCTGCCGGAGAGGGGCCAGTGGCAACGCTACAGTCTCTCTGCCCCCCGCCCCCCGTGCCGCCCGTGGGCGGGCACGCCTCTCCCACCTGCTTGTAGTGGGCCCGGACCAGGCTGAACACGAAGCCGCGGTCCACCAGGGACAGCAGGTCGCTGAGGAAGAAGGCCAGGCTGATGTTGAGGCGCTCGGCCTGCTCCACGTCCTGGGGACACAGGGCCCGTCAGCCACGCTCACACCCAGCACGCTGCAGTCCCACCCAGGGCCCGGCTCTCACCAAGGCCACCAGCAACTCGGGAGCCACATCACTGTCCCAGACGCCCCACCCCCCCCACCCCCCCCTCTGGCCACTCCAGACTTTCCTGGTTGTCTCCGCCTTCGGACCAGCCCTTCCGTCCCCACACATACAGGTCCACACCCGTCAGGGCACTGTTTAGGACAGATTTTCTTTCCTCTCTCCCCAGATTTAAATAACACAACATGGATGGCGGAAACTGGCTGCTGACTTCCCCCTGGATCCTCCTTCCCAGCCCTCAGGGTAGGGGTTCAGAGGGCGGTCAAGACTGGATTTCCCCGCCTTCCTTGCAGCTGAGAATAACCATGTGATCGGGTCACATTCTGGCCAATGGGATCAGGGGAAGGACTGTGGCCAGGTCTTCCTGCTCCCACAGCCCGCCAGGTGCCTGATGTGGGGGCGCCATGGTGAATCCTGATGGCCAGGCCCACACTAGGGAGCCCCCACGGCCCACTTACGCTCAGAAATAAACTCGGGGCCCTTTTAAACCACTTGTGATTATGTTTGAGCAAATTAACCTCTGCCCTAACGGATATAATGAGCAGGGACAGCTTGTACAGCGCCCAGCTTCCCGTGGGGGAACCACAATAAACCAAAGGATCTCAGATCATTCCATGTGTCGAAGACAACGGAACGGGGTGCTGTTCTGAGAGAAGCCCGAAGGAGGAGGAAAAGGCGTTCCAGGCAGAGCTAAGAACAAGGCCCAGGCCCTGGGGCAGGATGTGCCTGGCAAGTGGGAGGAACAGCAAGGGGATCGCTATGGCTTCCGGGCCCAGCAGCTGCTTGTTCTTGCCTCGGGCTCTCACCAGCCACTCCGGCCTCACAACTCAGCCTCTGTGGCTCTTAGTTCCCTGCAACCCAAAGAAACAAAACACAAAACCTGCTGAGCTCTGAGCCCGCCGTGGGGCAGGGGCTGGGTCTGCCTTGTTCCCCGAGCTCCATGCGTGAGACCACCGTGGCCGTCACCGATGCCCCACTAGCAGCCGTGCCGACGGCCCTTCTCAGGGGCATTGCTCTGCCCTGCAACCCTTTCCCAGGGCGGTTTCCTCATCATCTGGGTCAGCCCCTGGGAATGTCAGTGCTTAGGGGAGGCTCCAGCGGAACAAGGTCGAGACCTTCGAGACCAGCCCAGAGGTCGCAAGGGATTGCACAAGGGCTGGCTCGGGCCAGGCTGGTGTTTCAAAAATCTGGAAAGTTCCCATCAAAACCAGAAGCCCCATTTCACTTTTCAAATGAGACATTCTGGCCACAGCGACTGGGCACACGCCCGCTGCTCCTTCATCGGCCCCGCTTGCCCAACTGAAGCTGATGATAAGGGTGTGGGCTCTGGACCTGGTGGCTTGGGATCAAATCCCCAATTCTGCCCTTCTCGGGTGGGTGGTGGCAGGTGGTTAGTCATTCTCTGCCCATTTCTCCATCAGTAAAATGGAGATAGTAATACAAACTTTATGGGGTTGTTGGGAGAATTTAGTCATGTGCTTCATCTCAAGTGTTAGGTACACAGTAAGTGCTCAATAAAGGCTCAAGATCACTATCATTAGTATAACCCACCTAGCTCCTGAGGGCATGGGAATTAGGGACCCAGGGCCTGGACAGGTGTCAAGGACTCAGAACACTAATGCCCACGATTGAGCACTTACTGTATACAGACACTGTGGTAAGGGCTCATGGATCCCTCACTTCTCTGCCTTCTCCAACTCCCGTTCCTGATCTGCTCCCTCTGCTCCAGCCACGCCCACCACTTCACTGCTCCTCCAACAGCCCAGGCACCGTCCTGCCTCAGGCCTTTTCACTTGCTATTCCCCCTGCTTGAAACGCTCTTCCCCCAGACGTCAAATAGACTGCCCCCTCACTCCTTCAACTCCCTCATAGCGCCACGAGGGCAAGGACTGGCATCTGTTTTGTTCACTGCTGTGTCTGTAGTGCCCAGCACAGGGATGTGCACACAGTAGGTACTTAAGAAATGACATTGGCCCTGGCTGGTTTGGCTCCGTGGATAGAGCGTCAGCCTGCAGACTGAAGGGTCCCGGGTTCGATTCCAGTCAAGGGAACATGCTTGGGTTGCGGGCTCGATCCCCAGTAGGGGGCGTGCAGGAGGCAGCTGATCAATGACTCTCTCTCTCTCTCTCTCTCTCTCTCTCCCTTCCTCTCTGAAATTAATAAAAATACATTTAAAAAAAGAAAAGAAATGACAGTGAATGAACAGACCCATCCAGCAAATGGGACTGGTGGCCTTGCAGCCAGGAAGCTGGGCAGGACTGGTGCCCCAAGCCCCTCCCCCACCGAGGCCCCTTCACCTTTACCTTGTGGGCCCGGGTGATGACCTCCAGGCCCACGGAGCCCACCAGAGCCGCGATGTCATCCAGGAAACGCACGGGGAAGCGAAGCTTACGGGGCGAGTCCAGCCGCTGGCTCAGAATCAGGTGCAGGGCCATGCTTTTCACCTGGGGGCCGGGTGAGAGCTTGAGGGGCCGTGGGTAGAAGGGGCTCGCCAAGTGGGGATGGGGCTTGAGGAGCTGCAAATGGTATTTTAGCAGCAAGGGAGGGGAGGTCAGGGTGGGCGTAAGGGGTCCTGGGTGGGGCTTGAGTCCCGTCATAGCTCTGAGCTGAGGGCAGGGCCTGAGAGGCCATGGGGAGGACTCGAGAAGGCCATGGGCAGAGCCCAAGGGGGTCTGAGGCTGAGCCCGTGGGAGGGGCTGAGCAGGTCTCCTGGGGTAAGGTCTGGGGGAGCACAGGGCTTGAGGGGTGTGTTTGAGGGAGCCCTGAGTGGGACCTTGAAGCCCACCTGATTGGGGGTGGGGCTTGGAGTCAGGAGGGGTCTCTCAGGCACCTCTTGAGTTCCACAGGGGTTTCCTTCTCTGTCTGGGGGTATCTCTTGGGGTGGGGGTGTCTCCTCACTGGTTAGGGACCTCTGCTGACAGCCCCACAGGAAAGGTGGGGGAGGGCCTTCTCTCTAGGAGGGAGTTTTACAGGGCCTCTTTCCGGGGAACGATCCCTTTAGGGGTCTCTTATCTCTGTCCCTCTATGGGGGGTCTTGAAGCCATTTCTCAGGGGTCTCAGGCAAAATCTCAGGGGGCTTCCCTCCCCAGGGAGAGTCTCCCCTGGGGCCTCTTGCTCTCGGGCTGGAGGAGGTGTCTCACCATGAGCTGGAAGAAGAACCAGGCGTGCTGCAGGACGGCCTCGCGCACGGCACTGCCGCTCACCACCCACTGCAGAGCCAGCTCCTCGTGAAGCAGCTGGAGGCAGGGGCAGGGGCAGGGGTCACAGAGAGCAGAGGGGCCCGCCCCAACCCCCTCTGGAGAGCATGAAGGGGAGGATGAAGCTGGAGGGCTGGGGTTAGAGCAGCAGGCCATGCAAGAGAGGGGGGGCAGGAGTCCGACGTGCCCTTTCCCGGGGCTCTCCAGACCCTGCTGGGCTCAGGGGCTAGGAGCTCTGGACCCCTTTGCCGGGCCCAGGCCAAAACTGCGCCACCCACCCCTGCTTCCCACTACCTTCGGCATAGTGGGCCTCGGCTGGGTGGCTGGTGGGGCGGAGGAGGAGCTCTCGAGGTAGGAAGAGGTTCGGGTAGAGCTGCGGTCGATGGCCTAGGATGGGATGGAGTGAAGAGGGTGGGATGGCAAGGAGGGGTTAGTGTGGGCAGATGGTATGGACAGAGGAAAGATGTGTCCGTGTGGACAGGCAGTGGGGGTGTGGATGGAGAAGGAAAGAGTGCGACGGAGATGAGAATAAGGAAGACACAGCAAGGAGGTGGAAAGCAGGGTGAACAGAACAGGTTAGGATGTGGGCCGGAGAGCCCGTAGGCAGGGAGTACAGAGGTGAGCATGGATGGAGCAGGACCCGGCAGAGACATAGGTGAGAGAATGGATGGGAGGAGTGTAGGTGGAGAAGGTAAAATCACTGTAGATGGTGAAGAGTGAGTGTGGTCAGAGGAGGTGAGAGTGAGTATGGACGAGGGTGGAGAGTGTGAGTGAGTCAGTGAGTTCAGGGGTAGACAGAGAAAGAAGAGGGAGGGCACAGATGTGGAGGAGGGAGAGCATAGACAGAAAAGGTTAGAGAGAGGAAGGAAGAGGAGAAAGAGGAGGAATTCTAGGACAGAGGAGGTAGATGGTGATGAGAAGCAGGAGGAGCAGCTGAGAGTCCTGGGTTCCAGGCCTGGCCCCACTCCAGCCTTCCTCGGGGCCTTACTAGGCCTCAGTTGTCCCCATCTGTGAAATGGGTATGGGGACTCAAGCTCCACTCTCCCCTCCTCCTTTGTTGGTCAGGAGGTGAGGCGGCTGGCAGGGAGAACAGGTCCAATGATGGATGGAGGCAACCCAGCCCTGGGACCCCTGCCTTGGCAGTGGAGGTCCCCCCAACTCCCACAATCCCAGCCACACACCCTGGCTTCTCAGCAACCACTACAAAGGCCAGCCTCGGTGCCACTTCCTACCTGGAATGCCCACCCTCTTGCCATCTCATCACATCCTATGTGATCTTCAAGGCCCAGCTGGCACCTCAGAGATCGGAGGGCAGTGGGGGGAGTCCTGTTAAAAATGCAGGGGGGCTGGCAGGACCCATGAACCCAGATTCCCAGCAATCTGGGAAGTCTGTCCAGAAGTCCCTGTGCTGCTAACAGTCGCCTGGACCACCATGCAGTGCAGGTCGCCTGAGTGACGGCACAGAGCGGGAACAGGGCCGAGGGCCACATGGGCAGGGAAACCAGCCCCTCTGGCTTCCTGGCTCCACCTTACCCTTCAGGTCCGGCAAAACATGCTCGCTCTCTGGAGAGAAGCCGCAGACCACCCAGAGGGAGGCTGGTGGTCCCCTCTGTTTGTCTCCTGGGCATTGCACACTGCACGTACACGCTGGTGCGCTTGTTTGCGTGGTGCCTAGCTCCCCAACTAGCTGGCGGCTCAGGGGTGAGGCTGGGCCGAGGATCTATGTCACTAACAACATCCCACCTGCAACGCCCTAACTCTCTCCTGGGCTCAAGACTGCTGTGCTGAGCACTTTCCTTAGAATCTTAATCACATCTGAAAATTCAGAGCCTGGGGTGCAGGGCGAGCCCACAGCAGAGCCAGGATTCAAACCCAAGTCTGTCTGAAAGCAAAGCCCCCCTGCATACGAGGAACCTGGGAGAGGGTAGGAGAAAGGGAGCCGTCCCAGGGCTCCCCTTTGTCTGAGACAGGACGGGGGAGCCCTACGTTAAGTTTTGTTCCCTTGGGACCATTCAGGTTGCTACGTCACGGGAACAGTTGAGAGCCTCCTGAACAGAGTGGATTAAAGGGATAGAAATAGGCCATGCGGGGCAGTGAGGTTACAGTGGTTGGATTTGCATATCATTTACATGCCACGTACACACCACCCACCCCTTCCTCTGTCTCTGCCTGAGGCTGTGGTCCATGTGGCAGCAGTTTACGATGACCCTGTGATGCCTACCACACCGACTCCACAGATCCAAACAAAGCAGAAGGGGCCGCCTCCTCCTTCAGGCAGTCCCCCTAGGTTAGTCAGCCGCAGCCAGGGCTTAGGAGGAGCTCATGCTGAGGTGGGGTCACATGCGTGCAGGGGCAGGGAGGGAGGGCACCTGTCTGGGGTCGGCCCCACAATAAGGGGGCGCCCGGCGCAGCACAGCCTTGCTGCCTCCTGGAGCATAGGCAGAATTCACCCAGGAGTGTGAGCGGTCGATACCCTGGAGATACACGGGTAAGTGGTAGAATCCATGGGCAGACGACAAAGAAACCAGCATAAAAAACCAAGGGTGTGCCCCGGCCGGTGTGGCTCCGTTGGTTGGGCATCGTCCTGTTCACCGTAAGGTTGCTGGTTTGATTAACAGTCAGGGCACGTGACCGGGTTGCGAGCTCAATCCCCAGGGCGGGGTGTGAAAAGGCAGCTGATTGATGTTTTGCTCTCACATTGATGTTTCTCTCTCTTTCTCTTTCTCTCTCTCTCCCTCTCCCATCCCCTTTCTCTAAAAATGAATTAAAAATCTTTAAAAAAACAACAAGTGTGAACACTACCCTGGACCATATATATGTGTGCCCATGTAGGCATCCACATGCAACCCTGGAAAACTGGTGTGCATGTACATGCATGGGGTGCATGAGTATATGAACCTGTGTTCACACGTGCGTGAGACACACACGTATCTATACCTGTATATACACACATGGGGCACCCACATACCTGTGCTCCATGCATGTACACCTATGGGGCAAACATATTCGTGACCTGTATATTTACATGCATAGGGCACACAGGTATATGTGCCTCCCAGTATGTATGCACATAGGGCACACACGTATATGCACCCACACACATGCATGCGTACCCCGTGTGTTACACATGCAGGGCACGCATATATATGCATCTATGTATGTGTGTGGTACATATGTTTTCACCGCCAGGCCAACCCCCAGCCACCCATCCTTAGGTCAGCCCCAGAGTATAGAGCCAGTGTAAACCAAGTCCTAGCTCCCAACCTGTGACAGCCACAGCCCCTCTGCGGCCCAGGGTCCAGCCTGTGTCCATGCCCCTGTCTGCTGTTTCCTGTCCTCCACCAACACTGAGGTCCTTTACCCACCCACCTGGCAACCACGGCACTGAGGCCGGAGGCTCCAGGGTCCCCCTCGCCCTACCTTGCTGGCCAAGATGCGGGAGACCTCGTCGTCCACAGAGCCAGGGGCCACGGCCAGGTCAGGGTTGCTGCTGCTGATGCTCTTAGAGCGAGCCAGGTAGAGGCTGGCAGGGCGGCCGGGGCCACGGGCCAGCGTGGCAGGCTGCACTGCCACCGGAGGGGCCCCTGAGCAGGGAGGGAACACGGTCACCACCTGCCTACCACCCTGATGACCAGCCCCTTCCCAGCGGGCTGCCTTTGGTGACGTCATTTTCTTTTTATGAGCCTCGAGGTGCCTCGCCTGTAAAATGGGTGTGAGAACGGGTGCCGCCTCATAACAATTTGGGGGGAGACTTAAAACACCGAGCACAGTGCCGGGCACATGGTAAGCGCCCAGAGAAGGTAGTGGTTCTTATTAGTTATTGAGCAAATGAGAAGAACATCCGACTTGATTGAGTACCCACTGTACCAAGCATTCTGCATGGGTTACTACGTCATCTCCTATTACCAGCACCCCCAGGAACGCGGGGCACATGATTGATGTTTTACAAACGGGAAAACAGGCTCAGAGAGGTGAAGTCACTTGCCCAAGTTATAGAGCTTGCAGGAGGACCCTGCTTGAGTCCCTGCTGGCTGATTGGCTGAGTCACCTGCCAGCAAGCAGGCAGATACCAGACCCCGGGGGGGGGGGGGGGGGAGCAAAACTTGCAAGTTGTCCAGACCAGCTGAGGCCTGTGTGGCCTCAGAACCTGTGTACATGCCGTTCCCTTTGTCTAGGATGCTCTCCTCCCGGATATTGCCTGTCCTCCAGATTCTCCCACCAATACTCACCGCCCAGGAGGCCGGGCTCCGTGCCAGGCAGTCGGAAGGCATAGTAGACATAGGCCGCCAGCAGCAGGCAGTGGCCACGGGCGTCCTGGGCAGCCTCTAGACTCCGATGGATGAGGCTGACTACATGGGCCATTGCTTCAAAAGCTCCACGGCCCAGGTTCACTGCCGGGCAGAGCAGAGGTCAAATTCCAGGGCCCAGGGCCCAGGGCCTCCTACCTCCCTGAGAGAGACTTTAGGGTCCAAGGGGTCATGTGGCCATCGAAGGGTCACAGAAGACCAGCTCTCAGCACAGTGGGCTGAGGTCACTTTCCAGATGGGAAAACGGAGGCCAGAGAGATAAATGGGCTAGAGGAAGTCACCCAGGACCAGGGGACTGAGGGGCCATTTTCCAGGTGGGGAAACTGAGGGCCGAGCCGTGCCTGCTCACCGATCTGGCCGCCGATGATTGGGGGCCGCACGACCAGACGTACGAGCTTGTCCAGCACGTGGTGAGAGAAGGCCACGAGGAACTCGGGGCTTGCGAGGCGTAGGGCCGCCAGGCTGGCCCGCAGCTCCTGCTCCACGGTGCCCTCGCTCAGCACGCCGTCCTTGAGCCGGAACGGGAAGGCGCCCTCCTCCAGGACGTGCACCAGGGTGAAGAACTTGTCCAGGTATGGGTCCTGGGTGAGGGGTTGGGGGTGAGTGGGGAGGGGCCAGGGCCCTGGTCCAGGAAGCCCCAGGGGATTGAGTTGGGGGCTGAATGGGCAGAGACACTGAGGCCGGGGAATCAATGAATTGATAATAAATAAGGACAGGGATGAGACACTAGAGCAGCGGTTCTCAACCTGTGGGTCGCGACCCCTTTGGGGGTCGCCTAAGACCATCGGAAAACACGTATATAACTACATACTGTTTTTGTGATGAATCACTATGCTTTAATTATGTTCAATTTGTAACAATGAAAATACAGCCTGCGTATCAGATATTTACATGACGATTCCTAACAGTCGCAACATGACAGTTATGAAGTAGCAACGAAAATAATTTTATGGTTGGGGGTCACCACCACATGAGGACCTGTATTTAAGGGTCGTGACATCAGGAAGGTTGAGAACCACTGGGTTAGAGGAAGGGAGGGAGGCGAGGGGGAAGGAACCACCGAAATAGCAGGGGACAAATGGGGGAGGAGAGGCCGTGCAAAGGGCCAGCGCCCCGGCCGGGGTAGCCACTGGCACGGCTCCCTGCCTGAGTCAGCAGCCTCCTGGGAGACAGGTCCAGCTGAGTGAAGTCTGTCCATGGCCCAAGGCCAGGCCTCTCCCCGGTCAGTGGGAACTGTTGCCCAACGCCTGGGTTCCTGTCCTAACACCTACCTGGGGGTGCACGGAGGACACAGCCAGGAGCTCCACGCTGAACACGCCCTTGTGGCCGTCCACCCAGCGCATGCCCGGCAGCGCCACCTGTGGGAGGGCTACACCTGTGGGCACGGACTGGCCCTCCCCCACTGGTCAGGCCACCAGCTCCAGTCATTTCAACGATTGCAACACCACAGCCTCAGCACGGCCCTGCCTGGGGGAGCAGCTGGGCACCCTGCCCCCAGCCCAGCCCAGAGATGGGGGTGAGGGCCGTCAGGAGGGAGCACTGTGGGGTTCCACTGGAGACCCAAGAGGAACATCAATGGAAGGAAGGGAATGAATCAGAAAACAGGATCATGGAAGATGGAGGCCCCAGGGGCATGAGTGAACAGCGCGAGGGTATTCACGGAGGGGGTGGGGATGACTGGCCCTGAAGTACTCCTGGGGGACAGTGATCAGGAAGGTGGGCAGGGCTGCTAGGGGGGGACGGTGAGTGCAGAGGCAGGGGCAGGAGGGGACAGGGAGGGACACAGGGGCCATAGGATACACAGAGGCAAGAGCAGGAGTGAGGAGGCGGCCGGGGCCCTGGCCCTGACAGAGGACAACACGGCTCCCAGAGGTGCTGACGGCAAGGAAGGCAGGGCACGAACGGGGAACCACCAGGAAAGTAGGCAAGGTGGGCAGTGCATTCCCGGGGGACCACGAGGCAGGAGCCCAGGGAGCCTCAGGGACCAGGGCGGTGGGAGGCACGGGGCCAGAGCACTTACGTCAGGTGTGAGCACGGAGTAGCTGGGCGGGGGCTGGTCCACGGACACGGGGAGGCAGAAGGGGCCGGTCCTCAGGCGGCCGTGCTGCAGCAGTGGGATCCACTAGGAAGAGGCTGGGGGTCAGGGGAGGGCCGGGCAGGGGCCAGGCATGCTGGGGAGGGGGGGGCAGGCTGGCGGGGGGCCTCACCGTGAAGCCCACGGGAGTCTCCAGGGCTGTGCCAGGCCGGGGCTGGCAGCTGACATGGTAGAAAGTGAAGAGCAGGTGGTGGTTCTCGGTCACACAGGCTGGAAGATGCAGCTTGAACTCCTCGTAGAACTCAGGGGACCTGGCAGGGCCGGGCTGGCGTTCAGGGGACGGGGACCCACCTGATCTGCCCCACCTCCCTCGTCACGTGTTCCCCCAGAGCTGCAGACCCCACTGTCTCTGCTCTCTGCCTCGGGGTCCCCCACTAGCACTTCTGGAACCTGCCCCTCCCTCCCCTCTTCCTGCTGCTGTCCCCCCACCAGTGCCCCGGCCCTCCACCCCACCTACTTGTTGTGGTAGACCACCGGCGTGAAGGCCTCCCGGGTGAATTCGCTGCAGCTGGACTTGCCAAAGATGACCTGGGGGAGCAGGGCCATGAGGGGCCGGCCAGGGACACCTCGCCCACCTCTCCCGGGCCCAGCCACTGACCGGCAGGGCCTGGCTGGGGTCCTCGCCCGCCATGTACTGCACTCGCACGGTGAGGTTGCGCACGGAGCCCTGGCGGCTGCTGAAGTTGAGGCTGTGCGGGTACACGTAGAGCAGGTTCCTGCAGGGACAGGGGCAGGGGAGGGGGTGTCAAAGGGACAGAGGAGGCTGGGCTCCCGGAACAAGCCTGGCCTGGGACACAGGACAACGGCCACACGGCCGAGGCACTGAGGGCTGGGTGAGGGGCAGTTAGGGGCACAGTTCGGAAATGTGACTGGCAGGGAGCTGGAGACAGATGGGCAGCCTCAGAGCGTAGACAGGGAAACTGTGGCAGACGGTGGAAGCACCGAGGCCTCTGGGGGCACTAATGAGGCAAAGGCAGGGGGCCACGTGGGAGCTCAGGGCTGAGTTCCAAGGTGGCCCATGGTCAGGATAAGCCCTGCCCGGGCCGACCTGCCCCTCACCCGCTCAGGGGCCTTCCCCCCTCCCCCCAGGAGAGGCCCCTCGTTACATCGCTTGTCTCTCAGGTGGGGAAACTGAGCCCGGACCAGCGTAGGGGCTTGGCTGGGGTCAGAGGTCTGCCCCTCTCCCCGGGGGTGACTGTGCGAGCCCCGACCTCCCTCTGGGCTTCAGTTTCCCTGCCTGTGTAATGGGGGCATTGGCCCTCCCGGCTGAGCCGCTGTAACAATACCAAGGACGGTAACAGTCAGGACCATGATTGCACCCACCACCGAGGGGGCACCCGAGTGCCAGGCTCCGGTTAAGCACTCACCGTGAAACAGCTCGTCTACTTTTCACAAGCAGCTTGTGAGGCAAGACTCATGTCACCCCCGTTCACAGGCAAGGCGAGCGAGGCGCTTGCCCGTCGTTACCCGGAGGGAAGATTGGTAGCTCGCCCATGCAAGCATGTGTGGGTCTCGAAGTCGGACCGTGTGGCCTTGGCACAGTCTCTGCCACCTGCACCCACTCCCCCGGTTCTCAACCAGGCCGACAAAGACGCCGGCCTCAGGGGCTTGCGGGAAGGGCACGCGCTCAGTTACCGTCATCAGGGGCACAGCTCTGAGCAAACTGGGGAAACTCATATTATTATTACCTCACTGTTATTACCGTGACGGCCGTGCCCATCTGCAGGTGGGGAAACCAGAGCCCAGAGCTCCTTGGTCCCCCAGCACCTGGGCCTGTCCTCCCCCAGTGCCCCCAGCCCACACCTGGCCCTCAGCCCCAGCCTGCGTGACTCCAGCATGGCCCTGCTGGACATTCGCCTGATGCAACCATTGTACCGCTGCCAGGCCCTTGCACAACACAGACACCCGACTGGCTGGTTAACGATTGACCGGGGGTTGAAGGGGCGCTGAGGCATAAAAGGCAGCAGTGGCGCCGTGACCGCACCTCCAGCCACTCAGCCACGGCCATGCTCGCTCTGTGTCTGCTGTGCTCCCTGCTAACGACGGTCTGGCCAGCCTCTGCGGCCCCCGTGGGCAGCGTGGAGCCGGCACAGCACGAGGAGCTGACCCTGCTCTTCCACGGGGCCCTGCAGCTGGGCCAGGCCCTCAACGGTGTGTACAAGACCACAGATGCACGGCTGACGGAGGCCCGGCACAGCATCGGCCTCTACGGCCGTGCCCTGGGGCTCCTGGGGCAGGAAGTCAGCCAGGGCAGGGATGCGGCCCAGGAGCTACGCGCCAGCTTGCGGGAGATGCAGGTGAGCGCTGCTTTCTGACTCCCTGGGGCGGGGGAGGATCTGCCCTGGAGTGATGTGTAGGGTGACCAACTGCCTGGGTTTGCCTGGGAAGAGGGGGGTTCCTGGAATATAGCAATTTCAGTGTTAAAACCAGGCATGACCCAGGCAAACACAGACAAGGCAGTCATCCTGCTACCTCTGCAGGGGGAAGAGGATGCGCTGCAGCTGCAGGCAGAGGCCATGGCCCGGGCGCTGGGGAAGGCGGCCCAGGGGCAGCAGGTGCTGCGGGAGAACATGCGGCGGCTGGAAGTCCGGCTGAGAGGGGCCTGGCTGGGCCCGGCCCATCAAGAATTCGAGGCTTTGAAGGTAAGGGGCTCCCAGTCCTGGGGGAGGTGAGACCCTGATTCCCAGTCAGAAGCTGCTTTTAGAGCAAGTCCCAGAGATCCCCCTCACCCGGGTCAGCTTCCCAGCACTGGGTGGGACCCTGGGCGCAACCCATGTCCCTTTCCCTGTCTCAGCTTCTCCACTTGCAATACAGTCAACAATTGATGTCTCAGAGTGGAGTCAGGGACTCAGTGCAGATAAGATACTCAGCGTGGGGCCAGGAAGAGGCTAGGTACTCAATGAACGCATACTTTTAGAGAAACTGGCAGCATTTCTTGCGTGTTCAGGAAGTACCCAGCACTGTTGTGTGTCCTTTAATAATCCATATCATGCTCATAATGCTGCCAAGTGAGTCCCATTGCTTCCCCATTTTACAGCTAGGGAAGCCGAGGCCGGAGAGCGGCAGTGACGTGCTGGGTCACACAAGTGCAATGAGGAGAGGGGGCTGGTAGGATCAAGGGATGGGAGGGGAGGCAGCCCCAGCTGAGGTTTCTGTCTTTACCCCACAGGCCCGTGCTGACAAGCAGAGCCACATCCTGTGGGCCCTCACGGGCCACGTGCAGCGACAGAGGCGGGAGATGGTGGCACAGCAGCACCGGCTGCGACAGATCCAGGAAAGGTGAGCCTGGTGGGGGTTGGCATGTAGGGCAACTGGGTTGGGGGTATGCCCCCCACTCCCCGCCTTGGCTGAGCCTCATCTCCCTTCCAGACTCCACACAGCCGCGCTCCCAGCCTGAGCCTGCCTGGCAGCACTGAGGACCAGTCATGTACACCTAGGGACGCTGCCACGCCCCATGCGGCCCCTGCACAGGGAGGAGCTGCCTGTCTGCTGGGGTCAGCCAGGCTGTCGGGCCCCGCTTCCGGCCCTGGATCAGAGACAGAAGCAGGTGGGGACGAAGGCAGAAGACACGGCCCCACGGAGGAGAAGTGAAGGAAAGACATGTGTGCCTTCATGCCTACATACCCATTAAAGCAACAGTGGCATCTCACCCCGGTGTCTGTGTGTGTCTGGGACAAAGGGGGCCTCACTTTGCATGATGCCTGAATGCCCCCCATTCAAATGCCCAACTGGGCCCCAGAGCTGTACCTGTAGCTTGTGTGGGGAGCGTAGACCTCATGGGTGGGAAACTCCAGGATCTCCTTGGTGGGCCGGCCCCTGGGGTCTGGGTAGGGCTTGACATGAAGCAGCTCCGGGGACAGGCAGAAGTGGGGGTTCTCGGGGGCCGGGGAAATGTCGATCTTGAGCTGGGCTGGGGAGGGGAGCCAGTTTGCACCTGCCTAGGAGCCTCCTAGCCAGACCCCACCCTCTCTGGACTTTGGGGTCCCAGCTCAAACTCCCCCACAATGCCCTCTGGTGGCTGTCCTTCAGGTACCAAGGCCAGAAGTCACCCTCAACTCCCACCTCTTGTCCCCACATTGGATCAGCTCTGCCCTCGGGATCCATGGCCTCCCAGCCACTACATCCCCCAGCTGGCCCAACGTCTGTCTTATTTATTATTTCTAATCTGTGGCCCCACTGGAAGGCCCAGCCTCTGAAGCTGGGGATTTGTCTGTCATGGTCCCTGTGGAGCCCCCAGGGTCAGACACAGCGGGTGGTCAGGGCTTGCTGAGTGACACCTCTGGCTTATGGGGTGCAGCACGCACCGGTCACAGGCCGCAGACGCCGTAGCAAGGACGAGGGGCGCCGCATGTCAGCCAGGAACTTGAAGAGGTCCTCATCACTGAGCCTCTCGGCCTCCTGCACCAGACCCGCATCCATGAGCTGGGTCCCCTGGGGCCTGTGCGACCACGGGGGTGTCCCTCGGCGTCCCTCCCCTCGCCCCCTCCCCTGTGGCCATGACACCTGTTTAAAGAAGTTGGTGACAGTTAGCGTGGCTGGGCGGAAACTGGAGAAGCTGCAGGTGTCGTCCCCGCTACTCGTCCGATCTGGGGGCCCCCGACGGCGGCGGTCAGTCCAGGCGGGTCGGCGCTCTAGGGGCAGCAGTGACGGTGATGGATGGAGGGGGACAGGGGTGAGAGGCAGGGAAGGAGAAACTTGGAGACTTCGCCTGTACAGCGTACGGCCAGCAGAGGGCGCCCCTTCCGTTCCCCAGTAGCCCCGCCCCCGGGCCACCAGCCCCGCCTTCTCACCGCCCTCGGAGTCGGAGTCCCGGTCTGGCTGCCCAGCGCTGCTCACGATGTTGGCTAAGTGCACGGCTGTCCAGGCAAATGGCATACGGTAGCGGCCCAGGCGGGTGCAGAACTGCTCGGCCGCTAAGCGAAGCTTCTCCAGCTTCTCTTTGTTCTGTGGGGAGACCCTCCGAGACCCACAAGCTCAGTGCCCCAGGCCTGCTGAATGCAGGGTTGGTGTGGGGGGTGGGGGGTGAGGGGGGCGGGGCGTTCACCACCAGGTCCGGCCTCCACCGCTTACCTTGGCTGTGTCCACCTCCTTCATGACCATGTAGGGCTCACAGCACTCGCTGATGTCTCCCTGCTGTAATACCTTCTCCAGCTGAGGGGCAGGCAGGCCCAGTGAGGTGCTGCGGGAGCCTGACCTCCCCACCATGCCCCCAACCTCCTGGGCCTCTCGTGAGCCCCCAGACACCCATCCACTAGAGCTCTTGCTCCAACACCTCCCATGGCTCCCACTGTCCTGGGGTTGAGTGCTAGCAGCCCCCTTGCCTGGCCGGCTGCCCCCACCCACCTTTGAACCCACCCCAAAGCCAAGGCTCCCTATTTCCCTACATCTACAATTCCTTGTCAGTAGGAACAGAGGCCACTCCAAGCATGGCTCTGGGTGACAAGAACTGGACTTCAATCCTGGGCTGTGGGATCCTGGGCTGTGGGATCCTGAGCAGGTCCCTCACCTGACCCGTGCCTCAGTTTCCCCACCTGTAAAATGGAGCCATGGCAACCCCCACTTTCCAGGGCTGCTGTGAGGACTCAAGGGGGAATCCCTGTGACGCCTGACTGACGGTGAGCAGTCCCTATCCATTGGTACTCAGTTAACGTCATTTGTGTAACCTAATTGTATGCTTTGGGAAAGGAAATTTAAATTCACTCCTGGAAACAATATCCCAAATAAATGTGCTCATTAGGTCTTTTTTCTAATAAACTGAAAAATTCTCAACTAAAAAACATGTTTTAGGCCCTGGCCAGGCATCTCAGTGGTTAGAGCATTGTTCCGATACACCAAGATGGTGGGTTCTATCCCCAGTCAGGCACATACAAGAATCAACTAGTGAATGTATTAATAGGCGAAACAACAAATTGATGTCTCTCTCTCTCTCAAATCAATAAATGAGAAATACATATATTTTTAAACATCTGTCCCCCTAGGCCAGGATGCCATTTCTCTACAGGCTGCTCACTCATGGGTCTTGGCTCAGCTGTCACCTCTGCATGGAAGCCCTCAGGGATTTCTTTTCACCTGGGTTGGGTCAGGAGCCTCCTCCAGGCTTGCCCCACTGCCTGTGCTTCCCCTACAAGAGGCCTGATCATCCTTCCTCATGCCTGTGTTCTTCCATGACCGTAGGGACTGAGCCTGTGACATCACCATTACCACCCCTTCCTTGCCCAGCCCCAGTGGGCACCTTGATGACCAGGAAGATGTCGGGCGAGGGATAGGTCACAGAGAAGATGGCAGAGCGGGCCAGGGTGGAAATAGCCGGGTGAGTGCCATGGGCCCGCAGCAATCCCTTCACAGAGTCTGAGTTCAGGTCAAAGTAGAAGTTCTCCGAGATCTGGGGGCACAAGAGGCAGCTGGGTCACCACCTCCTGGAAGCCCACAGCCTTGCAACGAGGAGGACAGTGAGGCAGGAAGGGGAAGAAAGGGGCGCCTACCTTCTTCTTCTCCCGCACATCGTACAGGGCCAAGATGCCAAAGATGGGCTCAATCTCGATCTCGAACCTGTGTGTGAGGGGGCGATCTGGCACAGGCTGTTCCTGCCACACTCCCGCCATCCACACCCTCGACGCCCTCTTGAGGCCCCACCCACCTTGGTGCAGCCTTGGGGGGCATCTAATTCCCACTGAGCCACACGAACTGCCATTTAAGGGCTTGCAGGAAAGGCCTGTCCCATTTCGCAAGAGGAAACTGAGGCACTGATTCTACCCCCACCCCCCCACTCCCGTCAGTAAGTAACTCACACAAAACCCCTCCCCCCAAAATCATGGCTCTTGTTCAGTTTGTAGAGAGGTAGCTTTTGGCACAACAATTCCCCCTCCTCCAAATTAAATTCTCGACTCCCGGGTCTCCCTGTCTCCCCTCTCTGGGGTGTCCTTTGTCACCTGTGCCACCCTGGGCTGAGTCCCATTTTTGCTCACCTGAATGGCCACTGTAACCGCCTCCCTCCCTTGCTCTGCCTTGCTGGCCCCTACGCAACAGCTACTTCTAAGGAAGCATCTTAGAACTTACATTTTGAGGCTCCCTGACAACAAATTCCTGCATGGCCCAGCCCTGCCACACCTCTTGGCCTCATTTTCCCCTCTCCAGATGTCTCCCTTCCTTTGTGTGTGCTGTATGGTCATCCCACGATTACATGCTCTGTATACAGTAGGCACTCAATGAGTGTTGAATGACTGGATGAGCCCACAGAGCCAATTCCCAACCCTTGCGCTTGGGGTGGGCGGCCCACCCGGGCCTCCAGCCAGACCAGGCCTCTCTTTCCTGTCCCTGGCCAACAGGAACTCAGGGTGGGAAGGGGCAGGGCCAGGCTCAGGTCCAAGGCCACATCCTGTTCAGCTCAGTTCCCACGCATTGTTGGCTGCTCCCCAGGGGCGACTGTGGAGGGGGCCTCCAGCCCCGGCGTCACCAGCGCCCGTCCACCTGCGTCCCACCAACAGAGCGGGGGCGTGCTGGACTCCGGCCTCCCAGATTGTGTGATTTTGGCGCAGGGACTTTGTCGCTCTGTGCCTCGGCTTCCCCACGTGTGTCCACTTCACAAGGTTTGGTGAAGATGAGAGTAAATGTACGTGGATGGGCTGAGAACAGAGCCTGGTACGCAGCACTTAAGGGTTGGTGGCTTTGAGTAATGGAGACGGAAGTCTTATTTCCCGCCTAAAGGCCCATGGCCTCACGGGTCCCAGGGCTGCACGTGGTAATGGCACGGCTCTCGCAGTGAGCACCACGCCGTGATCTAGGTGTCTGGTCCCCTTGCATGTCTGAACGGGGGCAGGTGAGCACACTCACTTAAGTGATAGGCACTTGACCAGGATCCTCTGTCCAAAGTGTTCGCAGGGCGGCTCCGGGTGGCTGCAGCGTTCCACGGCCTCGTCCTGCCAAGAACCGGGGGGCAGCTGGGACACATCCTCCAAGAAGAGCTTGGAATGTATAGCCTGAGACCAGCTCAACCCCCAGCCTGACTAAACTTGAAGTCCCTTGCCTCTGAGCCTTTGCACGTGCTGTTCCCCTGCCTGTAATGCCTTTCTTCCCCTTCCTCCTTACTGCCGATGCCTGCTCATGGTGGAGGTCGCAGCTTACCTGGCACTTCCTCCAGGAAGCCTTCCCTGACCCCTGAGGCCTGGGCAGGCACCTTCTCCAACTTAAACTAGTAACAACAAAAATAATAACAATAATTCTTGGTATAATTATCCATATAATAAAAGCCTAATATGTTAAGTGTCCGGTCTCTGTTCAACCAATCAAAGCATAATATGCTAATGATATGCTAAGACGACTCAACTGCTTGCTATGACATGCGCTGACCACCAGAGGGCAGACGCTCCAACTGGTAGGTTAGCTTGCTGCTGGGGTCCAGCCAATCAGGACTGAGCAAGACAAGCTGGACACACCCTGGAGCCCTCCTGCAGTCCCTCCCTGGCTTGCCAACCTCCCACGTCCCTCCCCAACCCCAATCGTGCACTAGTGGGGTCCCTTGGCCTGGCCTGCAGGAGAGCCGATTCCAGCCCTATCCTGCTCTATATAGGAGCTGCCCCTGGTGGTCAGTGTGCTCCCACAGGGGGAACGTTGCTCAGCCAGAAGCCGGGTTCACGGCTGGCGAGCGCAGCGGTGGTGGCAGGAGCCTCTCCCGCCTCTGCAGCAGCACTAAGGATGTCCGACCGCTCCCCATGGGGAGCGGGCCTAAACCATCAGTCAGAAATCCCCTGAGGGCTTCCGGACTGCAAGAGGGCGCAGGCCAGACAGAGGGACGCCCCCCGCCCTGTGCACGAATTTCGTGCACCGGGCCTCTAGTTATTGGTTTAAGGGAGCTGCTCAATAACTGTTGGTTGACAAAGTGGTCACAATGCCCTGTTGCGATGGGCCAAGTGGCTGGGCACTGAGGGCCACGTGAGGGACAAATATCAGCACGCCACTATGGTGTTACTCTGTCTGGGTTGTAATTTCCTGGTAGGAGGGTCTCTTCCACTAGACTGTTAACTTGTGGAGGAGGGGTTGGGTCTATCTTGTTCATGGCTATATCCCCAGTGCCTGTCATACAACAGGCACCCAAACATGTCGGTTGAATAAATAGAGGCATACAGTAGATACCTGCTAAAAGTTGAATAAACAGATAGGTATATATAGAATGCATTCTATTAATGATGACTAGATATATATATGTATATGTATATATTATATTATATTAGATACCCAATAAGCACTGATTGAATAAATATAGGAGTATACAATTAAGACTCAATAAATGGTTGAATGAAAATACTAGATACCCAATAAAAGTGGGTTGGATAAATATAGGGGTATATAGATGTCTAATAAAAGCCATTCAATAAAAATAAAGTGTATATACACTAGTTGTCCAATAAGCGTTGGTTAGATAAATATAGGCATGTAATAGGCACTAAATAAATTCTGTTAGATTAAAGAGAGGTCTATACAGAAGGTATACAATAAGTATTGGTTGAATAAATATGGGGGTGCATATTAGACATCCAATATAAGCCACTGAATAAAAACACAGGGTATACAGTAGGCACCCAGTACAAGTTGGTGGGATAATATATAGGAATACACGTCAGCTGGAGGGGTGTTGGCCTCAGAGCCTATGTGGGCCTGCAGGCACCCACCTCGTCAGGTGCTGGGTAGAGGGTGAGCAGGGTGCGGGCCCGGTGCTGCCTTCGCAGGGCCTCATTGCGCCGGTCCACATCCTCGGGGGCCACCCGCTCCAGCAGCGAGGGCAGCAGTGAGTCAGCTGCCAAGTTCTTTAGGTCGAAGATGCCAGAGGCGCCGCTGCTTCGAGGAGTGTCCTCCGGGGAGCCCGAGGAATGCCGGAGGTCCTCCTGCCGGTGGAGACGGGCAAGCACCACCACAAGGGTCACCTGGGGACTTTGCTGACTCTCTTTCTAGAAACTTATTGGCGAGCCTTGCTCCTTTACCATTGTCGGGAGGGCTACTCCCATCCCCATGTTCTGAGCTTCACACGACCCCCACCCAGCCAATCAGAAGACATCTACCAGCCCCAGAGATAGGCTCCACGGTGAAGGACAGACCTGGGCTGGGTCAGTGAGAGCTTCCCTGGGACTCTGCTCACGGTTGCCAGGGGAGGGAGAGTTCTTACAGGGCTGTCATTGGCCCAGGATCCTACCTGCCCTCCCAGACACAGCTACGGTCAAAGCTAGATTACCCTGGTTCAAATCCCAGCTCAGCTCTGTGACTCCAGATCTAGACCCCAACTCTGAGGGCCTCAGTTTCCCTAGCTACACCTATAAATAATAACAATGAAAACAATAACAGTAATTCTTAGTATAATTATTCTTGGTATAAAGTAGCTGCTCAATAAATGTTGGCTGACAAAATATAGGCTGGAGTCACAGTGGGACAGTGATGGTCCTCTAATCACCTGGCTGTGCCTCAGTTTTTTAATCTGTAAAATGGGCGTAATGGTTGCCCTGCCTCACAGGATGAAAAATGAGGACAAGTATTAAGTACTTAGTATACACTAGGCGCTTAATAAATGTTTATAATTATTATCCTTAACTTTTCACTCATGGGGTCAATACATTTCCTTTTAAATTCAAGGGTATTTGGGTCATTTCCCATTACATGTGACTGAGAGCCGGGGCTGGAGCCCACACATATACCCCTGCAGTGATCCCGACCCAGGGATCCCTCACCGAGTCCTCTGGCCCGGATTTCTCGTCTCCAGACGCATCCTGCTCAAAAACCTGGCGGGTGAGGCCTTTCTGTCGCTCTCGCTGGGTCTCTGTGGTGATGGGACTGTATGCCGAACTCAGATGCTGGTACCTAGGAGGAGGCGGGGCTGGGTGGGTAGCAGGGATCAGGGCTCCCCCAGACTCCCCAATGCACCCTGACACACCTGCAAGGCCAGGTGATGCCTGCAAGACCATCCACCTACCCTGTGCTCCATCCCTGAAGTCCAGCTGCTCATGCAGTGACAATGGGCAGATAAGCAGGAGGACCAGCTACAGACAATGGGCTCTTCTGGGCTCAGACCTGGCCTCTTGACCCTCCACCCTGAGCTGCCCCCAGCCAGACCCACCTTCTGTGGGTGATGATCCAGTCCTCTGTATACATCTCCACCGCGGCCCTCACCTGGGCATCCAGCTTTCTGCGCAAAATAAAATCAGGGTAAACAGAGAGCTGTGAGGTGGGGCACGCCCTTCTGCCTGTCTCAGAGATACGGAGATAGAGGCTCCGAGGGGCGGGGAGGGTGACTTCTCCAGGCCACACAGAGGAGGCAGGATTTGAATTCAGGGCTGCTGGGTGTTTGATGGGAAGGAGGTGTAGATGGGGAGGGGGTGCATGAGGCAGAGTGGAGTTATGAACAGGGAGGGCGCGGGGTGGAACCCACCCTTCCTTGGGGATCCCGAGCTCTGTGGTCCGGCATTCTCGGGGCTGCAGCAGCAGCTCCAGGTCATCAGCGGGAAACTCGACCAGGTCTCGGAGAGGCCCGGGCTCAACCTCGGGCGGCCGGCTCTGCAGCACATCCTCGAAGTCCAGGGGCTCAATGACTTCGGTCAGGGGGACCTGGTTCAGAGCAAAGTGGCTGTGACCCCAGTCCTGGGCACTGGGAGTGGGGGTGGAGGTCCAGTGTGGGCCTGGGCTGGCCTCAGATTCAAGTAAGAGGGCAGTGGGAGCCATGGAAGGCGCTGGAGCTGGAGAGGTTCTACGAAGGGTGGTGACCTCAGACTCCTCTCCCAGCCCAGCTATGCCGGCCCCACCCCTCCTTCCAGGCAGGAAATCACACCCTGTGCCTGGAAGGGAGGGAACTAATGGTGGAAGGAAAGGCCTCCTGACTGCAGCCGAGAAACAGACAATCCCTCAGGCCCAGTGGCGAGATGGCCCCACCCCTTCCCTCTGCAGCTGACGGAACTCCCAGCCCCCAGGCCGCCTCCCCTCTCTTCATCTGGGTGGTCCAGGCAGCAGAAGATGGGGCTGCATCAGGCTGGAGCCTCTCCCCCACCCCACCCGACCACCCACAGGGCTGTCCCCCACCCCAGGGAGCTCCCTCCCCACTCACAGGGAAGCAGGAATGGGGGCAGCACGGCGCCCAGCCAGGAACCCCTCCCCTGCCACAGCCGGGTGGAAGTTGCCTCAGCTTTCCCACAGGACAGGGCACTGGCGGGTGGGGTGGACAGAGCCCAGGCACAGGGGAACCCCAGCTCTACGAGCGGGCGGGGTCTGGGCAGGGGGGCACCTCCCGAACACTTACCCCCAGGGAGCTGCTGCTGCGCCTGCTGGAGTGGGGAGAGCCGCTGCGCTCCCGGGACACCTGCTTCCTCACCTCGGCGGCCACGGTCCTGCGGGGACAGGAAGGGGGCCTTGGGGACGGGAGAACGTGGGCAGCAGGGCCCTGAGAACCTGGGCTTTGGAGCCAGCGAATTTACTGTGAGAGAAGAATCCAGGCTGAGGCGAGAAAACAACAGGCCGCTTGGCCAAGAGAACTTGGGCTTCCAGACCCACACGTCTCACACTGCAGCCCTTCCTACCCCCTCTCCGAGCACAGATGGGACCACTGATCCTGGGCAGGGCCACAAGGGGGTCATAGATCCCTCTTCATCCAACCCCCACCCTCACCGCGCCAGCCCTCTGGTCTCTGCTTTCTCGTCTGGGGGGCCTCTGTCCAGCCTGGGGCCCCTCAAACACCTCACTGTACAGCCATCCAGTATGTGGGCACCATTCTGTGCCTGCTAGGCTGCCTTGGACAGGTCACTCCTGCCACCCAGCCTCAGTTTACCCATTTGTGGCTGTTCTGACCTCACAGGGCGGCTGTGGGGAGCAGGGCAGGGGCCTGGCAATCAGAGGGCACTCCATGCCTTCTCAGGGAGTCTGAGAGAGGCTGACGGTGTGTAAGAGGCGGCAGAACTCCCAGAGGACAGCCCACAGCCAAGGTTAGGGCTGAGGCCTGCTTGAGTCACCTAAGTCTGCACTGCCCTTGACAGGCAGGGAGGAACAGGACCCTGGGGGAGGGGCCAGCAGGAAAATCGGGGACAAGACCCTGTGGGAGCAGGGATCCCCCAGGCCCTCAGCCCTTCAGCAGCGCTTAGACGGAGGGGAAGGAGAGACAGCCATGCAGTTGTCTAGGGGAACAGTGTGCCAGGCAGTGGGAATAGCAAGTGCAAAGGCCCGGAGGCTGTGCTCTGTGCTCTGGGCATGGACTCCTGCTCCCCGACGTCTCTGTGAAGCAGGATCCAGGGCGGTGCGGTCCCCGCAGAGGCCCTAGCATTGGACCCTGCACATCACAGGTGCTCAATAGATGTGGGTTTTTTGATGGGATGAGTACATCCCTCCCCAACTCCCACCTGGTCCAACTTCCTTTTTTTTTTTCTTTTTTTAAAATATATTTTATTGATTTTTTACAGAGAGGAAGGGAAAGGGATAGAGAGTTAGAAACATTGATGAGAGAGAAACATCGATCGGCCGCCTCCTGCACATCTCCCACTGGGGACGCGCCCGCAACCGCAACCAAGGCACATGCCCCGACTAGAACCTGACCCGGGACCCCTCAGTCCGCAGGCCGACACTCTATCCACTGAGCCAAACTGGTTAAGGCTGGTCCAACTTTCTTAAATCCCTTGTAAATTGGGGGAAGCCCAGACCTTTGGGCTGGGCGGCTTTGGGCAGTGGGGCCACCTTTCCTGGGCCTCAGTTCCTCTTATAATTGAGAAGGCAGTTGCCTGAGCCTTCTGCTTCCCACTCTTCTGTGTGTGTGAGAATTTTCATAATAAAAAGTTTTACCCCCCAAAGCTCTATACTGAGGACTGCAAACTCGATGGCCCACAGGCCACCACTGAGATGGATGTGTGCAGTGGGTCGGGGTGGGGGAGGCTGGGGTCAGCTGAGAACCTTAGCTCCATCCAGAAGCCTGAATCAAGTCCATATGCGTCAAACAAAACTTGGCCATGACCCTGATCCAACCTGGGGCCCTCCAGTTTGAGGCCCCAGCCTCACTCCTTTTTATTTTCTTATTTCAGAGAGGAAGGGAGAGGGAGAGATAGAAACATCAATGATGAGAGAATCACTGATTGGCTGCCTCCTGCACGCCCCGCTCTGGGGATTGAGCCCGCAACCAGGGCATGCGCCTCTGACCAGAACAGAACCCGGGACCCTTCAGTCCACAGTCCTACGCTCTATCCACTGAGCCAAATCAGCCAGGGCACCTCACTCCTTTTCTGTCCCTGCGTTCTATTTACTTCCTGTCAACTGTCCCTGAGTCTTGCTTCTATTGATGGGGAGGGGCAGAGATTCTAGAAAATTCAAAGGGTGTTCAAAATTAGGGAAATTCCCCAAAATTGGGCCGCCTCCTCTAGAAGCCTGGGCACACAAGGACTTTGGGGGTAATTTACAAAAGATGCCTGGACAGGGGACCTGTCTGTGTCCAGGTCCCAGCTGTTCTGCAGCTGCTGTCCCAGAGCGGAGGCCGGGGGGGGGGGGGGGGGGGCGGGGGGCGGGGAGGCTCGAGCTCCAGCTTCATTTTGTCATAGGCGTGGAGAGGCCCCTGCCGTGGGAAAGGGATGGATGGGTCCACAACGCCATGGCCGTGGCAGCCAGTTCCGAGTCGCAGGGCTCTGTGCGTGGAGCTGGGCGGGCATGGGCGGGCGACCTCCCGCTGCGGGCCTCTAGGCTCAGGGGCAGCATCCACACTCACTGAGCTGTTTTGAGTGCAGGGCCTGGCACATGGTAAGTGCTCGCTTAAGGCTTGCTGTCCCCATGTTGCCTCCAAGAGGATCTTAGGAACTAGAATTCTGGCCCTGTCTTTAACACCAAAGGAGACAGGCTCAGAGAAGGGTCTGGCCCACCCAGGGTCAGCAGCTGAACGCAGCAGGGCCGGAACGGAACCCTGGCCGGCCAGAGGCCGAAGTGTGCGCCCCTCAGCACTCCCTGTGACTAGGATGGGAGAAGGAGCCCCAAGAACAGGCCTCCGGAACCTACCTCCTCCCTGTCCATACGCACCCTGCACACCAGCCCTGTCCGGCCTTGGGGCTTCCACACCCTCTCAACACGAATGGATCCTTGGGTTTGCTCCGTGTGACACCTGTCTCTTCGTGTGCCCACGTGGGGGGCCTGGCAGGCATCCTGCCCCACTGTCTCTCTGCCTCACTAAGGCAGCCCAACCTCTCAGGTGTTTGGAACCCACCCCTGAGAGCCACCCCCAACTCCTCTCTTCCTGCCTCCACGTCAGGCGCCCTCACATAGAGCACCTTTCAAAAAGGCAGGCAAACTGTTGAGCTGAATTTAGTGACTTTCCCGGACGTGATCTCACAATTGCAGTAAAGGAAACTGCAGGTGGTGGGTTAGAGCTGTCGGTGAGATCAAGCCTCCCAAGGTGAAAAACTGACAACCCTATGTGACACGGAAGAGCTGTACAGCCCTAGCCGGTTTGGCTCCGTGGAGAGAGGGTCGGCCTGCAGACCAAAGAGCCCTGGGTTCGATTCCGGTCAAGGGCATGTACCCCAGTGGCAGGCTCCTCTTCGGCCCAGGCCCTGGTCAGGGCTCCTGCAGGAGGCAAGCGATAGATGTGTTTCTCTCACATCGATATTTCTCTCTGTCTTTCCCTCTCTCTTCCATTCTCTCTTAAAAGCAATGAAAAAAATATCCTCAGGCCCTGGCCGGCTTGGCTCAGTGGATAGAGTGTCAGCCTGCGGACTGAAGGGTCCCAGGTTCGATTCCAGCCAAGGGCACATGCCTGGGTTGTAGCTCACTCCCCAGTGGGGGGTGTGCAAGAGGCAGCCAGTTAATGATTCTCTCTCATCATTGCTGTTTCTATCTCTCTCTCCTTCTCTCTTCCTCTCTGAAATCAATAAAGAAATATATTTAAAAAAAATATATATATATATATATCCTCAGGTGAGGATTAAAAAAAAAAAAAGACAGTCTTAAAAGAAAAAAAAGAGTTGCTCAGAGTGGAAAGATGGAGCATCATTGGGAATTCAAGTGAGACTGGGAACTTACCCCAGGGCTGGCCAGATTAACAGAGGTCTTACCCTCACAGGGGAGGAGGACGATAATCCAGAACAAGAATGACAGAAGCCTCGAATGCTCTGTGTTCCCATTTGTGCAACAAGTGAGGGAAGAAAGTGAATCCAAATAACATCACAAAGAGAGTCCTCTTCATACCCCACCCACCACTCCGGACTGGAAGACAACTGTCACGAGTGCCGGCGATGATGTAGAACAATGGTAACTCGCATGCACTGGCGGTACAAACCCTGTAAAACCGTCTATAATTATCAAGGAAAGCTCAAGATATGCCCATCCAGCAATTCCCAGCAATTCCCCTTGGAGGCACAGACACTGAGGAGGAAACACGTGGCCACGAATGCTCTCAGCAGCCCCGATGGTGACAGCCCCAGCGTGAAACAACCCAGTGTTCCCTGAGCAAAGACAGCTCACAGGCAGGGGATATGCAGCAAATGTGAAGGACGAACCCGACTCAGGCAACCGACAGACAAGCCTGCTCCTGACTGTGTGGGTGAAAGCGGGGCCACGGACCAGGCGTCCCCGTAACTCTGTGCACAGGACGCTCTAAATATGCAAAACTGAGCCCTGGCAGGGAGCTCAGCTGGTCGGAGCATCGACCCGATACCCGAAGTTGAGGTTTTGATCCCCGGTCAGGGCACATACAAGAGTCAACCCACGATGCATAAATAAGTGGACAGCAAATCAGTGTCTCTCTCTCTCAAAATAAAATTTAAAATAGAGGCATAAACAGGCAAAACTAACCCACAGTGGACAGGCGCCATCCTGGACGAGAAACCATCATGCAGGGGAGGAGGGGACAGCAGTTCTGAGGGGCTGCTGGAGGAGGGGGGGGGCCAGAAGAAGGAGAGAGCCCCCATCTGACCTAAGTGGTTTCTCCTTGGCATTTGTTTTATTTTTACGTTTTTATTATTTTTTAAAAAATAGATAATATATTTTTATTGATTTCAGAGAGGAAGGGAGAGGGAGAGAGACAATGATGAGAGAGATCATTGATCGGCTGCCTCCTGCACACCCCACACTGGGGATGGAGCCCCGAATCTGGACGTGTGACCTGACAAGGAATCAAACCGTGACCTCCTGGCTCATAGGTCAATGCTCAACCACTGAGCCACACTGGCCGGGCTCCTTGGCATCTCTACATACAAAAGCCTAAGCGACCGCAACCAAAACAACCAAACGGACGACCAAACAGCTGAGTGGGGCGACCAGGCCGGCAGGGGGGTTAGTGAGGGACGACCAACGACTGAGCAGCAGCCTGCAAAGATGGCGGCACCCACAGCCAATAAGGAGGGAATATGCTAATTGACCGACACACCTTCAAAGATGGCGGCACCCACAGCCAATAAGGAGGGAATATGCTAATTGACTGACACACCTTCAAAGATGGCGGCACCCACAGCCAATAAGGAGGGAATATGCTAATTGACCAACACACCCTCAAAGATGGCGGCACCCACAGCCAATAAGGAGGGAATATGCTAAATGACCGACACACCTTCAAAGATGGCGGCACCCACAGCCAATAAGGAGGGAATATGCTAATTGACCAACACACCCTCAAAGATGGCGGCACCCACAGCCAATAAGGAGGGAATATGCTAATTGACCGACACACCTTCAAAGATGGTGGCACCCACAGCCAATAAGGAGGGAATATGCTAAATGACCGACACACCTTCAAAGATGGCGGCACCCACAGCCAATAAGGAGGGAATATGCTAATTGACCGACACACCCTCAAAGATGGTGGCACCCACAGCCAATAAGGAGGGAATATGCTAATTGACCGACACACCTTCAAAGATGGTGGCACCCACAGCCAATAAGGAGGGAATATGCTAATTGACCGACACACCCTCAAAGATGGTGGCACCCATAGCCAATAAGGAGGGAATATGCTAATTGACCGACACACCTTCAAAGATGGCGGCACCCACAGCCAATAAGGAGGGAATATGCTAATTGACCAACACACCCTCAAAGATGGCAGCACCCACAGCCAATAAGGAGGGAATATGCTAAATGACCGACACACTCTCAAAGATGGTGGCACCCACAGCCAATAAGGAGGGAATATGCTAATTGACTGCCACACCCTCAAAGATGGCAGTGCCCAGTCCCCTCAGCCCTGCTGGGGCGGCAGACACATGGCAAGGTCAGGCCCGCCCACCTCTGGAGTCCCCCAGTCCCCTCAGCCCCCCAGACACCCAGGGCGGCCCGAGGCTCAGGTAACCAGGGCGGCTGAGGCTTGTGCTGCCGGCAGTGGCAGCAGCAGAGGTGTGATGGGCCGTCGCCTTCCTCTGATCGCCGGGTTGCCTCCTGCCCCTGAGGGCTCCTGAACTGTGAGCAGGGAGGCCGGGATGAGGGACCCCCCTCCAGTGCATGAATTTCCATGCCCCAGCCCTCTAGTCTGTATTATAATTGAACCTTGCACTTTCCTGCATGCATGTTTTACATAACACTTCTTAAAAGGTAATGACATTTGCGTGTGCTCATATATGCAGACATGTGGTGGGACGGAGCAGGAAGGAGCCATTTCCTTGAAATCCTAGAGGTCCCTTTGGAATTTTGTCAATGTCTGTTTCAGGGCCCTCCACTAGTCCAACAAATCATTGTCATTAAGTGAGAAATGCAAGCGGCCTCATACCAATCCACTGCCGGACAGAAGGAAGACGCTGCTGGTAGATGCCCAAGGAGAATGAGCAGACACCTTAGAGGTACAGAAAGAGGCACCGTTCCCACGGCTGCTCTGGGCTCTGGAGCCACACACCCCATTAGGTCTCTGCAATGACCTAACCACGTTGAGTCTGTTTCTCTGGTTATAAACAATTAACATCCCAGATGGAGATAAGCATGTGATAAGCATTATTGTAAGTGCTGGTCACTATCACCATTCTATACTGTATTTTATTTTAAATAGTACAAGTGAAAAAAATGAACAAGTTGTATTGCATACAAGAACAATTGTCCATATTATGTACATTCACAAGAGTTTGGACTTTTAGGTTGTCATTCAAAATCTTGTTTTTTTTCTAGAATCTGTTCATTAGGAAACTGGGGGACTGTCCTATGCTCAGGTTAATATGGTATTTGTGGAAGGAAGGAAGGAGGGAAGGAAGGAAGGGAGGGAGGGAGGAAGGGAGGGAGGGAGGGAGGAAGACAGGCCCAGATCTGAGCATGTGAGACACCTGGGTGTCCACCGACAGCTCTGGAGACCTCATCAGAGAGAAGCTGGAAGACTCGAGCCATTTGCTTGTGGTTCACTGGGGCCCCAGGACCTCTCTCTGCTCTTCTTACTCTGGGTTCTGTAGCATCTGTTTCCCAGGGTGGGACCCAGGACCCCCCTCACTCACAGAGTGGAAGCCGGGACCCAAGGACATAGGGGCTGAAAGGCAAAGAAACAGGCTCAGAGACATCAAAGTTCCAAAACAGAGGGACGGTTCGAGACACAGAGATGACAGACATAAAAACAGCCCCGGGGACACCAGGTCACGTCTCTGTTTAGAACCCTTCACGGTCCCACCTCGTTCAGGATAAAAGTTAAAGTCCCCCCACAGCCCACAAGGCCCCGTGGGATCTGCTGCCACTGTCCCTTTGTCACTCTCTGCAGCCCGGCTGGTCGCGGATGCCCTGTGAGCACACGCTGCCTTTGCGAACACACAGGGCCTTTGCACTGCCCTTCCCTGTGCCCGGACCCTCCTCCCACATACAGCAGGGACCCCTTCCTGGCTTCCTTCAGATATTTGTTCAAACATCTTCTCACCCAGGCATTCCTGGCCCACCTCCATATCTAACATAACCCCCACCCTCCCCACCTCCCATATCTACCCCCCACCCTCCCCACCTCCCATATCTACCCCCCACCCTCCCCACCTCCCATACCTAACCCCCACCCTCCCCACCTCCCATACCTACCCCCCACCCTCCCCACCTCCCATACCTACCCCCCACCCTCCCCACCTCCCATACCTAACCCCTCCCCTCCCCACCTCCCATACCTAACCCCGACCCTCCCCACCTCCCATATCTACCCCCCACCCTCCCCACCTCCCATATCTACTCCCCACCCTCCCCACCTCCCATATCTACCCCCCACCCTCCCCACCTCCCATACCTAACCCCCACCCTCCCCACCTCCCATATCTAACCCCCACCCTCCCCACCTCCCATACCTAACCCCCACCCTCCCCACCTCCCATACCTAACCCCCACCCTCCCCACCTCCCTTCTCTGCCTTGTGTGTCCCCATAGCACTTGTCACTAATAAATGACGGACTTTATTGTGATTCTCGTCTGTACCCCCTACTGTCTCTGCTCCCAAGGGTGGGTGAGCTCTTCCCTGTGTCTCCATCAGGCCAGTGCCGACCACTCCAGGGTAGCTTTTTCACTGGGGTCAGGTCCCCTGTGAGAGGACCACTGAGCACCGGCCCCCATCCCTCTCCCGGGCCGGCTCCCACCCCTCTCCCGGGCGGCTCACAGTCTCCAGTCGCGGAAATGGATCCCTCAGCGCCTGGTGCCTGCCCCTTCCCCCGTCTGCCCACCAGCTGGCCCGTCCCCAGCCCCCACTCCCTCCATTCAATCCCCATCCATCCCGGCCCGTCCGGCCGGTGCTAGGACGGCCTGAGGCCGGGCGGGGGGACACCCACAGCTGTCTCTCACGCCCCCGACAGCTGGGCACGGGACCCCGGGGAGGGGGGCGCACGGGAAACTTCTCCACGGGACTCAAAGGTGCCAGGAGCGCAATCCCGGGTCCGAACTCCCGGCTCCAAACCGGACACAGGATGGACAGACAGGCTGCCCCCCAATCCCGAACCCTCGATGGGGGACCGGGGGAGGCCAGGATGCCGGAGGCGATGCCGAGGACGCCGGCCTCAGCCTTCCCTGCACCGCCGCCTCCAGGAAGGCCCCCGGGCCACGCCCCCGGGTCCCACGGCTCGGAGGGTGGACCTCGGCCGCCATCCCGCCCGCCGCCCGGACGCGACCCCCAGCCGGGACCCCGCCGCCCTCCCGCCTCCCCCGGCCCCGGCGGCCCCGGCGAAGGCGGAAGGGGCTGGGACGGGGGGCGCCCGGGCCGGGTTGGGCCGGACCCCCGGGGCGGGGCGGGGCGCGCGCACGTGGGGCCGCCCGGAGGGGACCCGGCGGCCGCGCTACCTGTTGATCTTGTGCGCGAAGGCGCGGCGCTCGGCGGCCGCCATGGCGCCCCGGTCCCTCCGCCGCCGCCGCGCGCACCGTCCGGGTCGTGGCCACCGCCGCCGCCTCCTGGATCTGGGCAGCCGGGCCGGGCGGGGCGGGGCCGGGCGGGGGCGGGGCCCTTCCGGAGGCCCCGGGCCGCTCGGTGCTGCCCCTGCCGGCCAGGGGGCGCCCGTCCCCGGCCACCCCGCTCCCTGGGGCTGGGCTGGGGAAACTGAGGCTCGGGGGGAGGCGGAGAGCGGCGCCCGGACTGATGCCGGGGTGGGTGGTGGGGGTGGGGGGGCTCGGACTCCAGGGGAGGCTCTTTCTGCCATTTAACTGGTAGTCGCCATCATCAGTATAATCTCGGCGTTTATTAAGCACAGCCCTGCATTCACAGACGGCAGGAACTCATTGCTCCCATTTTACAGGTGAGTAAACGGAGCCCAGGCCTGAGTGCTCACCAGGGTCGCTGAGGCTCCACGGGATGCGCCCCAGTCTGGGGGAAGGGGGGGCGGGGGGCAGCCGTCCTCCCAAGCGCCTGCAGACGTGAGTCAGGACGTCTGGTGGTGGGAGCTGAATGAGCCCGTCGGGGGGCTGGACTGGCTGTGCAGCCTCCACTGGGAGGAGAATGTGGGGTTGTCTTGGTTAATCTGTGGTCTCAACACTACACCCCCCGCCATGGCCCCTCTCCCAGCCCCCCCCCCCCAGCAGTTTTGGGGGGTTCTCCCACCCCCTCACCCTCCGGATGCGCCAGTCCCTCGCTCACCTCCACGCCTGCGCAGGCGGATTCTTCCTCTGGATGACCCAGCTCCAGTCCGAGGGAGATTTTGTTAAACGTTTTTATCTAAAGTATGTTTTTATTGATCTGGTTTTTATGTTTTGTTTTGTTTTTAAAGAGAGAGAGAAACATCCATCTGCTGCCTCCTGCATACACCCACCGGGGACCCAGCCAGGGCATGTGCCCTGACCCGAAATCCAACCAGTGACCTCTCGTTGCATGGGACGATGTTCAACCACCTGAGCCACACCAGCCACGGCTACAGATTTTTTAAATTGATTTTTAGAGAGAGCGCGAGAGGAAGGGAGGGAGAGAGAGAGAGAGAGAGAGAGAGAGAGAGAGAGACATTAATTTGTTGTTCCGCTTATTTATGCATTCACTAGTTGATTCTTGTGTGTGTCCTGACCGGGGATCAAACCCGCAACCTTGACTGGTGTATCAGGTTGACGCTCTAACCAACGGAGCTATCGAGCCAAGGCCCTAGCGAGAATTTGAGGGTGAAAAATACTAGGGCACAGCTGTACTCAGGGCCTTGGCATGTGTTATTCTCTCTTCAGTGTACGGGTGCTGTCATTATCCCCCTTTTACAGATGAGGAAACTGAGGCCCAGAGAAGCAGAGTGACTTGCCCCCGTCGCCCTGTGGGTCAGTGTCAGATCCTGAGCCCACAGGCGGGATGCCTGGATGGAAGGGGAACCCTCGTACCCGACCACTTGCCCCAGCCCAGCGAGGGCCCAGCAGGGTGGCTCCCAGGGTGGCATGTGACACGTGCGCATGTGTGTCAGCAGCCCACGCACCTGCCCAAGTGGTCCAGCCACTTCGGCGTGGGAGACGCCAGGTGTGGCCCCGCCCATCACGCCCTGCTGTGTCTACCCCTCACCCCAACCTTCAGCCTCCCAGGCTGAGGTCCCTGCCTCACTTCTCAGGCTGCTGGGAGCCAAAGTGGGCAGGAAATATGGAGATGAGTAAAGGGTGGCGGATTTCTCCCCTCCCCTCTGCCTAGTTCCAGTCCAGCTCACCGTACCTGGTCTTCTGGTTCCTGCCCTCAGCCCCCACAGTGTGTTAACTCCTCAGCGGCCAGAAGGAGCCTGGAAACACCCAAGTCAGGTCATGGCCCTCCTCTGCTTCGAATCCTCCCTGGCTCCCACCTCATTCAGTATAAAAGCCAAAGGCCCTGCATGATCTGCCCCTGTCACCGCCCTGTCCCCCCTCCTTCCACTCTCTCCCTCAGGCACTCCACTGCTGCTCACTTCCTCAATGTTCCTCTGAGCAGTCGGACACAGCTCTACCTCAGGACCTTTGCACGTGCCGTTCCCCTTCCCACGTGTGGGTCCCGTCCTCATCCCCCTTTTACGGATGAGGAAAATGAGGCCCAGAGAGCAGAGTGACTTGCTGCATTTTGCCCAGTGAATCAGTGTCAGATGGTGACCCAGGGAACCTGACCCCACATGGCTTCTAAATACCAGCCGGGTCCCAGTCTGGGCCAGGCGGCGTGACCCAGGGTAAATCTTCTGACCTTTCCGTGTCTGTCTCCTTGTCTGCTTCATGAGGGCTCAGGGCAGACACAGCAGGAGGCGTGGACTTGGGAACACCGCACGCCAGGCCTTGTGGGGGCTGACTCCACACCAGAGCCAGTGGGAGCTGTAAGCCCAGAGACTCCAGGCCCTGTCTTGGTGGAAACATGGCTGCAATGATCCCTCCAAGTAAAGGCCCTGCCCAGCCGCCTGGAGCCCAGTACCTGCCCTGGTGCCTGCCAGACCTGATTGGCGAGGCTGTTCCTCTCCAGGCCTCGCACAGGTCTGACTCAGCTGGGTGGGGCTGGGGTGACCTCGACAGCTGCTCAAACAGAGGCCAAGCTCGGTGGGGACTTTGGCCTCCTTTGGCTGCTGTGGGAGGACAGATTGTGTGTGAGAGTGGGAACCTGCAGACCCGGGAGGAGGGGCTGCACTGGTCCGGGTGGGGGACGCCTGGGCTCGGAGGGAGTGGGCCGAGAAGGTGGCCAGAAGTGGGTGGGTTTTGGAAGATCAACTTGCTGGTAAGTTGAACGTCTGTGTGGTCAATGGAGTGGAGCTGAAGACCATCTCCCTTCACACCAATGTTGTCCAACGCTGTTCCCTCCACCTAGAATGTTGTTCCACCCACTCCTCCTCTGACGCCTTCTCCATCCATTAAGTCTCATCTTGGGTATCCCTGCCTCCCACAGCTGCCCGTGCATCCCCCATCACAGCCCCATCACACTGGGTCCAGGTGGCTAGGCAGAGCTCCCAGCACCTGGCACATAATTCGTGTCCATAATATCTATTTCTGGCCCCTCCTGTTTTCCTCATCTGTTACACAGTGCTTGCTCCAGGAACTCACAGTTTCAATCAGTGTAGCATTAAAATGTGCTTTTTCATCTTTCTGGGCACGCACACACGCTGGGGGTAAGAGGGTTTGCAGCTACTTCCAGAACTTCGCACAGGCCGCGTGCCCTCTGCCTGGAGCACAGTTTCCCCTACTCTGTACCTGAAAGAACTATTCATTCCTCAGGTTTCACGCCTCTCAGAAGCCTTCCTTAACGACCTCTCTCCCCTGCCCAAGCTGAGTCAGGGGCTCCCCTGGCCCCTCCCCCAAGCCCCTGGCTTTCCCCATCACAGCCCTGACCACCCTCAGTGGTCACCTCCTGCTCCTGAGGTGGTATCGTTATCCCACTCAAATGTCAACTCCATCAGGGCAAGGATTTTCTGTCTTATTCAATGCTGTGTCCCCAGCACTTAGCAGAGGGCTGTGCATACAGCAGGTACTCAATAATAGGACGAATGAGGCAGAGTGGGGCAGAAGTCCAGGGGCCAGAGGCCCCTGATGCCTTCCTCTCCCAGGGTGCCTCCCATTTCCACCTTCGGTGTGGTGGGAGAAGCCAGCCTGGTGGCAGAGGGACCAATTCCTCAGCTTCCCAAACTGAGGGGCACTGGTGGTAGGTGGCCAGGAAGATGGGGAGTGGGGGCGGAATAGGGGTGCTCCCTGCCGCTTGGTGCCCACAGTGGGGATAGCAGGACTAGTCAGCCCAGGGCACTTGTCCTGCCCCCAGCTCTCCTGCCCATGGGCACGGAACCCTCTCACTACAAGGTGAGGGGAGTGAGGAGAGTAAGAAGATAAGGTGGGGTGGGGGCAAAGGCTGCAAGACATCCATTCACGTCTCATGAGCACCTTTTGTGGGCAGGCTCCAACTGGCCTCGGAGGTGGGCCATCACCCAGGCCCTCAACTTACAGACTCAGGAAACTGAGGCTAAGAGAGGAGCAGCCGCTGGCCCAAGATCACACATTGGAGTCATAGGACTTGAACTGGGTCTGCTGTGTTCAGGGCAACCTCTCTCCTGGTTCTTCAGATGCATTTTGACATCTTGGTGAATCACTTGATGAATGAATGAGTGAGTGAATGAATGAGTGAGTGAATGAATGAGTGAGTGAACGAATGAGTGAATGAATGAGTGAGTGAATGAATGAGTGTCTAGCCATTAGGGGTGAACTCAGAGTAAAAACAGTCATAAGCAGGACTTAGAGTTCAAAGAGTCCTCGATTGCAGGCTGGGTGACCTGCGGCCGTGTTGGGCCTCCGCTTCCTGCTCTGTGACGTTCGTGTGGTCCTCTCGGAGCTGGCCCTACGGGACGGTGATGGGGGCCCATGAGGTGTTGTCGGGAGAGCACAGAACCCAGGAGACACTGAGCACAGAAGGTGGGGAGATGCTGCCTGTCAGATTGTTTTTCCTGTGGCTTCCGGAGCCAGCTGGAGCCGGGGAAGGAAGCTGGAAGCAGCTGGGGGTGTCCTGCCTTTGGGAGTTTAAAGCACAAAGGCTGGGCCCAGACAGGCCAGAGGGGCAGGCCGCAGGCTTCCTGTTTGTCTTTGGACAGATGGCCCGGCTGCCTGTCCCCTGTCTCTTGTCTGGATGCTCATGCATTATCCCTGGAAATCATTCCTCTCCCTCTTGGTGACACCTCTGTCTAGTCTGCTCATTTTCCGGGTGTTCTCACCACATCCCAGCATTTGGAGAGTTTTCATCAAGGTCCCCAGATACCCAAGAGTCTGCAAATAGAATTCAGGGTGGCCATGAACTTGGAGGAGAAAAGCTAGCATCGCTCACGCTCACCCACCGGGCTTCTAATGACAGCAGTCATTAGACTTGCCGCTTTGCCTCACTATTTAGTGTGTTTAGAAAGATGCACACATTTCATCACAATTAAAACGCATTTCGATAACTGTATCCCAAGGTAATGGGCTTCTAATAGGTTTCCGTTCCCATCGAGGTGTTGTATTTTATGTGATTACAAACTTTCACTGTTGAGGGCCCGTGGCACCAAAAGGTGCCCCTGTAAATAAGAGGAATTTTCCCAACATCCTCTCCCCTGCTTAAGCCTGCTATGGGCCCTGACCGGTTTGGCTCAGTGGATAGAGCGTGGGCCTGTGGACTGAAGGGTCCCAGGTTCGATTCTGGTCAAGGGCATGTACCTTGGTTGCGGGCACATCCCTAGTAGGAGGTGTGTAGGAGGCAGCTGATCCCTCTCCCTTCCTCTCTGTAAAAAAAAAAAAAAAATCAATAAAAAATATATATATTAAAAAAAAAAAAAAGCCTGCTATGGTTCCACATTGCCCCAAGAGGGAGACATGCCCACCCTGTGGCCTACAGAACCCTCATCCGCCCCATAAGCCTGTCCCTTCCCTGTTCCCCCTCATTCATTCATTCATTCATTCATTCTACCAGCATTTATTGAGCACCTGCTGTATGCCAGGCATAGGGGCTTCTGGAAGGAGATGAGGCCTAAATTCAAGTGGGTGTCAACCAGGCAGAATCAAAAAGGGAGGAGTGTCCGGTAGAGGGACCAACACGGCAAAAATCGAGAGGAGAAGTTGCCCACGTGGGGGTGGGGGTGGGGGGACAGGGAGGAGAGGGTGGGACTCAAGGGGGTGGGTTTTCAGGCCCAGGTCCCGCAAGGCCTCCCAGTAGGGGCCTGGGCATAGCCCTGCGGATAGTGGGGAGCAGTGGAGGGGTGGTGGGCAAGGGCACCTTCTGGTTTGTTTCAGGAAGATACAGTTCTCACGTCCATCACGGGCAGAGCTGTCCTTAAGTAAATGTCAAATGGAGGACAAAGCAGCTGCATGTTTCAAAATTGCAAACTTACAAACTCTTGGCCCTAGCTGGTTTAGCTCAGTAGGTAGAGCGTCAGCCCTCGGGCTGAAGTGTCCCGGGTTCGATTCCAGTCAAGAGCACATACCTGGGTTGCAGGCTCGATCCCTGGCCCCAGTCAGGGCACATGCAGGAAGCAACCAATCGATGTGTCTCTCTCACGTCAGGTGAGGATTAACCAAAAAACAAACACACGAAAACCTATAAACCCTTGGACAGAGAATGTCCACTTCTAGAATTCTAGTCTTTATAGAGCAAATGATGGGGACATTTGTGGTGGTGTTGACTAAACAGCTAAGAGTGGTAGTGACAATCCACATGGGGCTGGCTCCACACTCTCTGCACCATGGAATACTGTGCAGCTGTGAAAAAGAACGAGAATTGTGTTTCTATAAAAGAAACAGCCCAGCCAGTATGGCTCAATGGTTGAGCGTCCACCTATGAACCAGGAAGTCATGGTTCAACTCCCAGTCAGGCACATGCCTGGGTTGCGGGCTCGATCCCCAGTGTGTGTGTGGGGCGGGGGGGAGGGGGCGGGTGCAGGAGGCAGCCGATCAATTTGATGTTTCTCTCTCATCATTGATGTTTCTATCTCTCTCTCTCCCTCTCCCTTCCTTTCTGAAATCAATTTAAAAAAAATTTTTTTAAAAAAACAATGAGAACGGCCCTACCTGGTTTGGCTCAATGGATTGAGCGTCGGCCTGCAGACTGAAGAGTCCCGGGTTCGATTCCTGTCAAGGGCACATGCCTGGGTTGCAGGCCTGATCCCCAGTGGGGGGCGTGCAGGAGGCAGCCGAGCAATGATTCTCTCTCATCATTGATGTTTCTCTCTCTCTCTCCCTCTCCCTTCCTCTCTGAAATCAATAAACATATTTTAAAAAATGAGAATGATATCTATGCATGCAGTGCATGGAATGGGTAGGAATGAGAAAAACAGGGTGCAAAACAGGGTGTATAGAAAACTGTTTTTTGTGTATTTGGGAATTATGTATCTACCCATAGTTACTTGATTTTCTAGGAATCCTCTTCAAAGAATTCCAAGAAAATAATGAGGTTGGGGTAAAGGGCAGGAAAGACACTTTTCTTTCTTTTCTTTTTTAATGAATAGATGTTTTTTAGAGATGTTTCCGTTCACAGAAAATTGAGCAGATAGTACAGAAAGTTCCCATATGTTCCCTCACCCCCACCCACCCACATACAGTTTCCTCTATTATTACCATCTTGCTTGAGTGAGGTACATTTGTTACAACTGACGGAGCGAAATTGATATATTACTCATTAACATTGGTAGTCCGCATTAAGCTTCACCCTTGGTGTTGTACATTCCGTGGGTTTGGACAAATGTATAATGACATGTATCCACAGTATCACAGATACTTGCACCGCCCTAAAACTCCTCTGTGCTCCCCCATCAACTCCCCCAATCCCTGGGGCCACTGCCCCCCACAGTTTTGCCTTCTCCAGATGTGACATGGTTGGAATCATACGATGTGCAGCCTTTTCAGACCGGCTTCTTTCACCCAGCAACCTGCATGATAAGTAGGTGTATGCTGCGTATCTTCTCATGACTTGAGACCTCCTCTGTTTTTCCAGGAAGG